GGAACGATGAGCTGCATCCAACCTCTAGGGAAATCTAGTTACAAATCCATGTGCCACTTCACCTGTGATGAGGGATTTTCTTTATCTGGATCAGAGAGAGTGGACTGTACTCCATCTGGACAATGGACAGGCTCCCCACCAACATGCACAGGTAGGTTGGGTCTGTTCCTTCTTACAGCCTTTCGGGCAACACTGCAGGATAGAGCAGGATCAGGGAGTCATTTGAATGTGTTCTTGAGCTCAAGACAGACCAAGGTGTGTCTCTGTCTCTGTGTGTCTGTCTGTCCCTGTCCCTGCCTCTGTCTCTCTTTCCTGAATAATCTTTTAATACACTGAGGTAAACATTTCACAGTTTTATGAAGTACTTTCATATCATCATAATGCATGATTTTAACCACAATTATAAAATTATGAGGAAAGGCAGCATCATCTCCATTTTACAGATGAGAAAGAAACACAGGCTCAGATATGTTAGGTCATTTGTCCAAGGTCACACAGAAAGTGATAAAGCTCAACCATTTCACTGAAACTTTTATTTTCCTATATAGTCTTTTTATGCTACACCATTCATTCATTCATTCATCCTACCTTTGCTGAGCACTAAGTCCCACACACTGTGCCTTTCAGGATAGGTATGATTTAATTGTGGACTAACTGTATGCTGACTCTGTCCTCTGCTTCTCTGTGGGTCATAAAGCACTTGAGGATGGGAGCTGTTCTTCCTTAATCTTTATATCCTCTGCAGCAGCTAGACAGAATAAAAATGGCACATGACAAATATCTGTTCTACTGAAGCTTATCATTTACCTTTAAAATTTCCTCAAGCAAAGGCCTACTGCCCATGAATTCATAGAGTCCTCAAAGGCAGGGGTTGATCTTGTCTGTCTTTATCTACCCTAACCCCTGGCTGGCACAGTATCTAACTTAGTCCATAGTCTGACATACCTCCTCTTTAGTTTCAAAAGACACCATTGTTCCTATGTATTCTTCAGTGTAGTCAGTAATAACGACTGGAATTTACAGCTAATATTTATTCCTTATGCAGTACCAGCTGTTTCATATGAATTTTCACATTCAGTCCATACAACCATCCCTCCCATTAGGGTAGTTACTACTATCTCTGTTCTTAAAATGAAGAAACAGGCTTTGAGAGAATAAGTAGCTGGCAAAGACACACAGCCAGGAAGTTATGAGGGCAGGATTCAAACCCAGGCCTGTCTGAGTACAGGACGTGTTCACCATTACACTACACTGCCACCCAGTGGCAAGGCTTCTAAATCTATCTAAATCTATCTAAATCTATCGCTTGTAAATTTACTCTTTCCCATTACATAGGCCGCAGCTTTAACTGCTAAAATAAACCTTAGAAATGGTAGTGTGTGGTAATCAGAGATTACATCAGTAGAAATATAGTAGTGCAACAAGCACTACATTAATATCCCAAGGCCTGTATTGCTTTCCCTGTCCCCACCATCACGTGGCATTAAGAAGGTCCTGTCACTCGCTTAAGCTTCAGTTTTCTTAATTTCAAAAATAAAAACAGGAGTGGGCAAGATCATCCCTGAGGCCTCCTCCTGGAGAAGAACTCTGTAGGTTAAAGGGCACAGAATGCTTCCATGTGTTGTGAAAAAGTTTCACGACGAGCCACCCTGGAAATGTGGAACATTAGGGCTTGTGCTTCCTTGTTCATTTATTCACTTCTCTCTCTAATTCCCTCATTCCATCGACATTTATCAGGGACTCTATTATCTGATATTCAGTTCTAAGGCTAAAGAATCAAAACTCCCTAAAAATATCTCATGAAAGTGTTAACACATCTATGCAAACCATATGGTTGCTAAATCTGTAATCTCTGAAGCCTCAATTTCCTTTCACTTCTGTCTTCTTTTCCCCACAAGAAGTGGCTTTGCCTCTCCCCGGTGGGCCCAGCCACTCCAACCCTTCCCCGGAACTAGAACCGACCTTGACCATGGACAGCACCTGGAGCCAAAATGGATCTCAGAACTCCAGCCTTTATCCTGATTTTGAGATCAGGTTTTTTTTACCTGTGTTCCTATCTCATTTCCAAATGTATACTCTAGATTTGGGCACATGTCTGTTCTCTTTTTCCCATACATCTGAGTCCTTGGATTTTTTAACCCTCAGCCCCACCCTCAGCAGTCATCTAGTCTAACAATTTCGTGGAGAAACTGGGGTGGATAAATTAGAAATTCATATATTCATCCACCTGGCATTTGGTTATTGAACACCACCTCCCAGAGATCCTGCAGTGGGAATTACGGGCAACCAAGACAAGAGGTTCTTGGGCTGTAGAAGCTTTCTGACTAGCAGAAGAAGAAAGATATGAAAATTATATGGGAGCAGATGAATTCAAACAAAAGGTTGATGTGTGCAGAGTGCAGTTCCAGCTGGGAACTCAGTGGTGATGGGCACTGGCTTCAGAGGGGCTCTGATGAGTTGGATCCAATGGAAACAGAAGACATTCAGGGCAGTTGAGCCAAGGACACGTCTGACCAGCTAGGTCATTCCCTAGACCTTAGCTATCTTGACCAGTTTTGAGCTTTCTTCTGCAGTAGAACTGTGGTAGAAAAACCAGCCTGAGGATCCAAATAGAGGAACTGGATTGCGGCAGAAGGTGGTCATTGGAGTTGTTAAGGTATTGAGTTTGAGAAGGCTGGATACCCTAGCGGAAGTAGTCTCCAGCTGGAGGAAAGGCAGACATGAAATTCTGGAGTGTGGCCATTCAGATAAGACAGGAGAGCTGTAGAAGTTCATAAGGTCTCTGAAGAAGTGTAGACAAGGAGAGGATGAAGTTGTGAGTACTAACATATCACTGCTTAAATTCTCAACTTCCTTATCTTTATGACATCTCCATGTTCTGCACTCTGCAAGCCCACCATCCCTTCCTGTGTAGTACATGACCCATTATACACTGTGGAATGCCAGATGCTTAGCAAAACACCTGAAATATAGTAGGTGGTGAATAAATATTTATCAAGTATATGAGCGAATGAATATTGTGAAACACAGAACTTCTGAATAAACTTGGACATTGTGACACTCTCAATTTGATATTGCAGCCAGCAAGTGCCCAGAACTCTTTCCTCCACGGTGGGGCAGCCTGGATTGTTCTCATGCTTATGGAGAATTCAGCGTTGGCTCCAGCTGCCATTTCTCCTGCGACAAGGGCTTTAAGCTAGAGGGGTCAAACAACGCAGAATGCACAGCTTCTGGAAAATGGTCAGTGCCTCCACCAACATGCAAAGGTAATGACAGATGTTCACTGGGGCTGTTCTACTCTTGGAAATGTTTTTCTGCAAAGATAAAAATCATTTCCATAGCTCTTATATATGGCAGGTACATATTATACTATCATTTTGGTACAGAAAATGCAGCCTGTGTGTTTAAAAAATTTCTAAGAAGTGACAGGGCTTTTCAATGTTTGTAAATAAAAGACTAATTCTTATGCAGAAATTTTGTCTTATTTTTTTTAACTTCTTTGGCTCAACTTTATTGGGCAAACTGAATGCTGTCCACTACCCTGCTGCTCAGAGAATGCCGAGGTCTGACTTTTCACCTGAGACACACAGGAGTCCGTTGTCATGTTCCTGCCACATGGCAAGTTAATGACAAAGCCAGTGGCATCACTCACATTTCACCTTTCAGGTTTGGTCAAAGAAGAGTACGATCAGGCCGGGGATTTAGCTCAGTGGTTTCACCACCTGCCGCGCAAGTGCAAGGACCTGAGTTTGATCCCCAGTACCAAAAAAGAAAAAAAAAAAACCAAAGAAGAATATGACCTCCCAATGTATCAGGGGAGAATAGGTGATTGGGCTTTGTAAATTTGGCATTTTCCTGAATTTCTGTGTTTCTGTACCAACTCTTCTGCTGTGTCTTTTTAAAAATATTGGTAATATTGACCTTCTGTTTCTCCTTGTGGCCAGCACAATCATTTCTTCAAGGACACTTTTAAATACTTTGCCTCATTTGGTTCTCCATACCCAAAATAAATAGATAATAGTTTTTTCATAACTTTCTTATTGCTAGCACATCCCTTGTTAGATGGGAAAGGAGTAGAAGCAGTTACTCTGTACTAGCCATTGACTTGGACATTCTCCTTTTAATTGAGTGTTCTCTAATTGAAATATTTTCTCACAACAGCTGTAGGGTCAGCTCCTGCTCCAGCAACGCGATGCCCAGCCCTCACCACTCCTGGGCAGGGGACAATGTTCTGCAAGAGTCACCTGGGAACGTTTGGTTTGAACACCACTTGTTACTTCGGATGCAAAGCTGGATTCACACTCATTGGAGACAATGCTCTCAGATGCAGACCTTCAGGACGATGGACAGCGGTGACGCCCGAATGCAGAGGTAAAGTCAAGGGAATACTTCTGATGCTTTCAGCCACACATGATACTCGCCGGTTGAAATCCCAGCAAATCCAACAACCACAGCAAATGTCACATCCTTCATGAAACTCCACTGATCCCAGTCATAAATAATGAGCAGCAGGCTTATCACCTGCCCTTCCTCGTACCCAAAAACCTGAAGGAGAAAACTTATGCAGATGTCTAAAGTGTGTTAGACCTATAAGCATAATGAACATGAAACAAACTGTACAAACTGTGAAGTATAAGTTGCAATTTTTGAATTAGGCGACAGTATAAACATTCTAGTAATAGAATATGTAATGCCATATTCTAGGGCTAGTTAAACCCTTGTAAGGCCTCTTGAGACCTAGCCCCTGTACGTGGAGCATCGAGCACCATGTCTCTTTTTTCTTCATTTCCCCTCAAAAGCACACTCAGAGCTTTACAAATGTCACTACTGCTCAATAATATTTATTTGAATTAAACAGAATTTCCTGAGCTTTAGTGTCCTACCATAAGTTAAAATTATATGAAGTTCCCTGAAAAATAAAGAGGATAATGGTCTCCACTTCTTTCAAACTGTCAGTGTCCAGATGAACACTAAATGCTTATGAAATATTTTTGAATAATCGCATGCTGACATGCCAGTTAATCACCAATGTATTAATAATAACACTCAGAAGAACAGTATTTCCTGAGAGGCAAGATAGTATTTATAAGTAGTATTTTTGGAGGCAAGAGCAATCCATTAGCAGACATTTACTGAATGGGATTTTGTGTCCATCCCTGATCTCTGGGCAGCATTCTTTGAGCAGCTGCTTTCATATGTGTGATATTGGAGAAGCTGATGTGAATATTTCAAGCAGCTAATTTCCTTTCTGACCTTTATATTTTCCTTTGGCTACTGCCATAGTCAGGTTGCAAATGGAACCATAATCACATTTACCTTCATTCTACATAATTGTTTCTCCTGTATTCTTTTTTCCTGCAGCCATCAAATGCTCTGAACTGCACATCAATAATCCACTAGTGATGAACTGCTCCAATCCCTGGGGAAAGTTCAGCTACAGCTCAGACTGCACCTTCCATTGTCTGGAGGGTCAGTTACTCAATGGCTCTGCAAGAGCAACATGCCAAGACAGTGGCCAGTGGTCAGCCACCGTGCCTACCTGCCAAGGTACATGCTTCTTGTCTTAGGAAGCCACCTCGACATGAAAAACACAAAATCAGTGCTTGTTCTCTGGATATTTCTCACAGTGAACTTCCTTTCCATTGCTGGGTTTCCCTTTGATTAATAAATGTCTCATAATGAGTCAGAAAGAATCTTCTCGCTTTATACAGAGCACTAGGAGTTCAATTCAGTCACTCTACGTAGACAAATGCCACTCCTTTTAGTGCTCAGGTTGATGTGCCTTCTCACTTCTTTATTATCTCTGTTAAACACATCTTGAAGTTTCAAAATGTGTTGAACTGAGAGCTTTTTCTTGAAAATACCTAATTTATTACCTCAGAAGACTTTTGTTTACCACCCATCTCTAAAAATACCATAAATCTTCCTTAATTAAGCTGTCTGCAAGCTTTATTTCAGCTCCCAACTTCTCCCCCTTTTATTTCCTAGAAGCTTATGATTTTTTGTTGCATATCTCAATCTTTGATTGCCAAAAACTTTACCCATGCTTTATTTACTCAAACTTCCATATGTAGATTTTTTTTGTGCCTACAAATTAATTCCTTGGGTCCTTACCCTGACCAGTTCAGAAATTATATTTGCTATTTAAGCCTTAGGAATACAACCAGGCCCTGATTTCTACTCTGTTGAAATGGGTGTCTGGTTTCTAGATTCTCTTTCATGCCAGATAACAGCATGGGCAGGATCTTTGATGATCCTACTTGATCTCATGCCTCAGAGTTCTTGGGACCTTTCTGGGAATGACTAGTCTTCTTCACAGACACCTCTTATCCCTGTCTTATTTGTGTGTTTCTTTTGCAGGGGGGATACTCACTATTCAGGACACACTGACTTATGTTGGTGGAGCCATGGCTTCCACAACAGGTCTGGCCATTGGCGGGACACTTCTAGCTCTGCTAAGAAAGCGTCTCCGAAATAAAGGTAAATAGTCTTCCTCTTGCTTTCTTTTTTTCATGTGATTTGGGTGGGATGATAAACTTTAGTATTTCGTGTTTGGAAACATTTTCTGGGAAGCAAACAAGGCCAAGATAAATGATCTAGAGGACTGACTGCCCATTGGAACCTCCTGGGAAATTCATAAACATACAGATGCTTCTATAGGGAGATTTGGGACTGGGTCTGTAAATCTGAGTTTTTCAAAAGTCTGCCCTCAAAATTCTGGTGAGACAATTTTGCAGGTTGGCATTTGGGCTTCTCTGGAATTGTGAAAAGTAATTAAAGAAGTGTCATGGTTCCTTCCCTCATTCATCCCCTCAAGCAACAGCTATTTACATATTACTCTGAAAGCCAAAGGGACCCACTGTGATGATTCTTATCATCAAGGAAGGTATAAGCCAGTAGTGGAGAAGGACTAGTTAAATTAGTGCTTATACTAAAGAGGGGTAAGTGTGTGATGACAAAAATACCAGCTGGTTATTACCAGAACAGAATAGGGTGGCTAAACCAGACTGCTAGGTCTGAGTCTTTCTCAAGCTTGCCTTTGAAGAATGAGAGGGATTTGGCCAGTGGAGGAAAATGGAAATAGAGTTCCAGTAGAGAAGATGCCATGTGGAAAGTCATGAAGGGGTGAAACATCTGGGAGAATGGTTCAACAGTTCAGTGCATCTGAGTTCAAAGGGGCTTAGGGAGGAGGCAGGCAACGAAGTGAGAGCTGTACAGAGCTGCTTGGTAGAGACCTGGCATGATAAGTTCAGACATCTGCATCTTCTCCTGCATGTGTGTGCAGTTAAAGCATCCTTTCTCAATCTGCTGTGACAACTAGGCTGCTCATAATTTCATAAACTTGTCTAGGAGATAGGATGGCTCTCTTTTTTATTACTCCTCCTAAAAAGCAATTGGGGGAGGGGAAGTAGAGAGAATTAAGATATGTCACCTACAGTAGGAACTTCCCACAGTGAATGTAATCATCATGTACTAATAAATGTAAAAGAAAAAGAAAAGAAAAAATGTAACTAGGGGCATCAGAAGGGCAATGGATGTTCAAATCCGGTAACCAAGTGTGGCTATGTTGAAGTACTTAATAGAATTCTCACTGAATTCAAGAGTTGCAACATCTGTGCCGCTGATCAGAGTCAGGAACACATATTTCTTCCTCTTCTCACTCTCCATAGAGCTACCATCACAATGGGGCTGTTTTTCTAAAGCCCCTTTACACTCTCTCCTGTAAGGGTGTAACCAAGACATCAGACAAAGGGCAACACTGTGCTGCTTAAAGACCAGAGAGATGTATTAAGACCTACAATTAATGCCTCTATGCAAAATTTCTGTTTGCTTAACCAAATCCAGAAGGAGGAAAATTGCCTAAAACCTGGATCCTAATCCCCGTAAGCATCCAGGAGTCACACTATTTCCTTCTGTTCACTCTTTCCCTCACTCCTTCCCTCCCCTCCCCCTTCCTTCTTCCTCTTTTCCTCCCCTTCCTTCCCCTCCCCTCCCCCTCTCCCTCTCCCTCTCACCTTGCAATATAGCCCAGGCAAGACACAAACTTGCAATCTTTCTGCCTCCTAAGAGATTTCCTTTCTTTACTTTTGAGGCATTTCTAAGTTGGAAAAGGCCTAGCAGCCACCCACCTTTTTTTTTTTGGTACCAGGGATTGAACTCAGGTCCTTGTGCTTGTGTAGCAGGCGGCGAAACCACTGGGCCCTACCCATCTTTTGATACCTTTAATAATAAATAAGTTCTGGGCTGGGGATTTAGCTCAGTGTTTCTGCCACCTGCCTTGCAAGCGCAAGGTCCCAAATTTGATCCTCGGTACCAAAAAAAAAAAAATAAGAATAATAATAAATACATAAATAAATAAGTCCATTTCATGGGGATAGATTATTTTCTGGACTTATCCCACTTGGTTTTCAGACTCATATTCTGTGGCCAAATAATAAGAAAATGCTGCATATCTGAAAATCCAACTCTCAGAGTCTTATTTGTATTAAGACAGGAAATGCCTGCTCACATATGTTAGAGGGAAGGAAAACATGAATTGCTCTGTTGGTTTGGATTTGTTTATATGATTAGGTTGCCTCCCTGAGGCCAAGGGAGTGAGGAATGCCACAAAGGACACAGCCACAGGGGCCCTCGAGGACCAAGAACCTGTCGCCTCAGAAGTGTGAGGACAGATTTTTGTATTGAAAACCAAGAGGAAGGGAGTGAAAGGACCCTGGAGTTAAATATTGTAAAATGTTTAATTTAGCCTAAAACAAGCCCTGCCTTTCAGGCAGACATGGTTCCCAATGCTTCCATGGAATAAGCCTATCTAAAAATCAGCCTACTGATTTTCTCCAGTAATTTCTCATTAATGATTCTTCCCCTTCATATAATTTTTCCTTTTAAACCAATCATTCATGTTTTCTCACTTATTTCAGATGATGGAAAATGTCCCTTGAACCCTCAAAGGTAAGATGAAAATGTTCTATAATTGGGTACTTTTTGCTAGTTGAACTTTCTCATCCACCAGAGCAGGATGGTCATACAGTGCTTTAGTTACTTTCTCGTTGCTGGGACAAAATACCTGACACTCACAAGTTAAAGGAGGATAGGTTCAACTTAGCTCAAAGTTTGTAGAGGTTTCAGTCCATAATCAGCTGGCTTGAAGGCAGGGTGGCATGGCAGAAGGGCATGGCTAAGGAGAAACAGTCCATGGCATAGCAGACAGGAAAATGAAACTTCCTTATTCTTTCCCTTTTTATTCCATCCAGGCTATAAGCCTATTGGTTCGTGCTACTCAGAGCAGGGTGGGTCTTCCCTCTTCAGGAAGTGCATTGCCCACACCCAGAACTATGCTAAACCAATCAGAGGACTAATCCAGTATCACACACTCATGACCCAGCATCACACACCCTTGATCCAGTATCACATACCTATGATCCAGTCACTCCTCAAAGCCCCACCTATGAGCCCATGAAGCTTGGGGGGACATCTAGAAATAAACTATAACATACAATACCTGCCTTCTTTTAATAATGAATCTTTTTCCATGTCCTTTTACTATCCTGAAGTAAAATACACATGTGATATATCCCAACCACACAAAATGTTTTCAAAGTCAATAAATTACCTAATTAAAATATCAAGAAAAATTAAAAGGAAAGTGATTTATAAGAGAAACAGACTGCTACAGCTTTGGTGCTACATGAGCAGATACTATGAGGTTGTCAGAGGCTTGCTGAATTCTCCCAGCAGAATTGCTATGAAGCAGCAGACAGGGGACAGCCTGCCAGAGGATAATGTATTAGTGACACAAGCAGGATCACAGGCAGAGCCAACACCAGCCTGATTTTTCAGAGTAGTGAACATCTTTGGCAAAGGGTTGTAAAGCCTGTCATAATCTTCCCTCAATGCATGTAGCAATTGCATTTTAAAAGATGTCAAAATCACTTAATTATATGTAGAACAGATCAGGTCCAGGGACAATGGTTTTTGCTCATGTGAATATTGAACAGATGTTCCAAAGTGTAGAATGCAGGACAGTTCTTTTGTATCCTGTGCCTATTTGGATATCCAGTACCCCCTGGCCCCTGTTCACTGTATGTCAGTAGAAAAAAGTCAGGAAGGGGGCAGTACTGCCATTCTTTGGAAATTACTGCTAGAGTATTCATTATCAGCAACTATTTCTTCTCACCAAGAAGAGGCTGTAGCTCCTTAGAGGGTAAAGCAGGCATTGTGTGCACAAAGCCTCAGCAATAATCATACCTGTGTGACATAATGCAGAACACCCAGAGCTATTAAGTGGGGTCTCAAAGCTTGCTTTGGCTTTTATTTTTCTTTCCTTATTGAAGCCATCAGAATTCCAGGGGCAGGGTGGTAATCCATGGTTTCTGGAGAATACTCCATGTCGGACTGTGTTGAGGACTAAACAGTATGTGTGTTTCGGTTCTTCAGCCACCTAGGTACATACGGAGTTTTCACAAATGCTGCGTTTGATGCAAACCCGTAAGGTAAGTTGCCTATGAACATTTTTTTTTCATACTAGGGATTGAAGCCAGGGCCTTCACCCTGAGCTATATTCCCAGCCTTTTAAAACTTTTATTTTAAAACAGGATCTCACTAAGGTACTAAGTTGCCTTGGGTGGGCTGGAACTTGTGATCCTCCTGCCTCAGCCTCCCAGAGAGCTAGGATTAAAAGCATGTAACATCACACACTCAGCTTCTTCTTCTTTTTTTTTTTAAGGAAACAGAACAATAGACAGCTTGATTGTTTTTACATAGTCATGTATTCAGTTTTAATTATGTATTAAGTTTTCAGTCCATGAAGGAAACTATATTGGCAACAGGAGATAAATAGGACAATAGAGTGATAATAGTGAATTTGTTTAAAGATTTCCATTTCCTCCAGGATGGAAATGTTTGAAGGATACATAACCTGGACATTCCAGGGTGTGTGACATTCTCATTATTGGTTGCTATTTGGTGTGGACACTGTGGTGTTTCCTCAATATCCCTTATGCTACCTGCTGGGCAAACAGATAATCGGACACCATCCTTATCTCAAATAGTACAGTGTAGATAGTTAGTTGAGTTTCCTACAGAAAGTAACTTGGATGGCAGAAAATCTGGGATCTAGGAAGAGATTACCTTGAGCTTCACAGGAGAGATGGGATGAAAGATTTCTTGCTTTGTTTCATTTTTTTAAGGAAAAGATATTCATTTTCATTCCTTCGGTTCTATTTTCAGAGACACGCCCTTCTCCTAGTCACCTCATTCAGCCTCTCAGGATCCTGCTAAGGAACACGAACCTTCCTGTTAGACTTGACTTCATCTGTAGCACCTCTGTTACAGGTTTCTGTACATATTGTGGGTAAAGGACAAGGACGCTCCTTTAGATTTGCTCTGGACCAGAGCAGAAGGACTGTGCCACATTCCCGCCTCTCCACCCACTGTCTTCCTGCTCCTCCTCCCTTCTTCCTAAGACACCAACTACAGAAGTCAGGAGCAAATGTTTTGCCTGTGGTCTGGACTGGCCTGACTGGCCTGGAAATATTAGTCAAAGGAGCTTCTGATTCACCAGAAGACCAGACTGTGGAGAAGTGAAAGGGAGATATCTCATTAATTTTGGATTGAAAGTAGGCATCTTTTACACTGTTGCAAGACAGAGCATGTCTAACTTGAGGGGATTTCTGTAGGATCTCCTGGGGTCTCCAGAGGTTGCTGTCTCGGAGGCCCCTTGAAACTCTGCTGATGCTTCCAAAGGAGCCTCTGGATGGCGTCAGAGGCTATGGAAGACAAGAACCACATGTTACTGTGGAACTCTCCCTCCAGAGATCAATATTTAAAGCTACAGATAAAAGGATTTCCCCACCAAATACCACATTCCTCTGTTTGATGTTCTGTTCAATAAGGTCTGTGCACATCACTGTTTACCATCCATGGAGCGCCCAGTTAACAGTTCAACCGTTTAAAGAGTTGCAAATATTGTCCACATCCCTGCTCCAAGAGAAAATCAGAGAAGCAGAAAGTCTTCATCTTAATGTTCTACACAGAAGAGCAGATGTTTTTTACTGGTTATTTAAATCACATATTTAATAAATACATCACTGAAAGTTATACATTGCTTACCTGAAATTAATGCAAATATTAGAGAGCCAAACAATATAATGTCTTGTTGCAAGGAAATGTAATCTGATGACTATGTCAGTAGACTGGATGGATACACATAAGCAAATATACAAATGTAAATAGTAAGAGTTAACTAAAGGGCTACAATGATTTTGCAAGAATTTTGGTAGCGACCTTGGGACTTAGGAACATGATACTTAATCAAAAGTTTCTCAGATAGACTGCCAGTAGCATCCTTGACTGTTTATTATATGTCAATCACTAGGCTAGTTATTACATGACAGTGGTTCTCAACCCTGCCCCTTGAGTCAGAATTTATACTTGTGAAAGCTCCTAGGGAATTTTGATGGTCTAACACTCTTGAGAACCACTGGTTTTATAGATATACAACTATATGGCATCATTCCTTCTCTTAAATAGCTTATAATTTTGTTGGAGATTCAATAAGCACCTACACAAAATGATAAAGGGTAGCTGAATGTAGTGGTGCACACCTATAATTCCAACACTCCGGGAGGTAAGGGGGGAGGATCCCAAATTCAAGTTTAGTCTGTGCAATTTAGCAAGACTGTCTCAATAGAATAGAATAGAATGATAAAATAAAATAATGGGGTTGGAGATGTAGTTCAGGGAAAAGGCCCTGGGTTCAATCCCTAGCGCCCCCGCCCCCGCCCCAAGCTAAAGAGTCATTATAATTTAAACAGCAGTACAGGAGTTCATAAAATGAAAAAGTTAAAATTGAACCCAGAATCAGGAAGAGGGGTAAGACCCCAGTCTTTAAAAACTGGGCAAAGAAAGGAGAGAATGGGCATTCTAAGTCAGTTGAATGCTATCAGCAAATGAGCAAAGACAGACAGAGGGGTAGGGAGCCTGATGTTGTTTCCCAAGACTTTGCCAGTATGCAACCGGCTGAATGCATTGGTGGCATAAAGCATAGGCAGAAGCTCAGGTCATCACGATGCTTCAGGTAACACACTTCTCAGATCCTCTGTCATCAGCAAAATAAAATTCAAGACAGGGCAAAACAAAAGACCCTTCCTGAAATATAAAGGGCCCAGAGACAGGAAGCATAATCAGAAATAAGCCCATGCTGTGTGCTCCATAAGTGCTAGGAATCCTATATTAACAGGATCCTTTTATTCTCCTAGTAATCCTATCGGGAAAGATTAATCTCCTTTTTGTTTGCAGATGTCAAAAGTGCACCGTAAGGGTCAGGGGAAGTGGACATCGCTGGAGACCCCTGCAGTAGGTCCCAGCCTCCTGTGAGCACTGGTGAAGGTTAAAGAATAGAGGAAACAAGACTTACAGTGAAGCTGAGTCTTGAGTCCCGGTCAGTGCTGCTGATGGCAGCAAAAGACAAAAGCCCCCAAGCACATCCAGTATCTATTTAATACAATCATGAGAAGGAACAGGGAGCTATGGAGCTTTGAAGTCATCCAGTGAATTACTGCCAAACACTTGGCATGATGGCGCCAGGCAGGGCTGTCAGGGAGTAGGCCCTGCTTATCTTGCTAGGATAGAAGAAACTGGTATTGGGACCAGGCACAATTAGCAAGCAACCCACAAAGTCAGTGAGAAGCGGTAAAAGATTTTAACTGGGGTCTCTCTGACCTCAGTTGCACGTAATTCAGCAGGGCTCTGCCACTTCACAGACCAGGACTTAGGCCTCGGTGACAGCCATTAGCAAAGGAGCAATACTAGCCCAACTCTGCTAGCTGACATGCCCATTTGAGTCACGCAGAGCTTTGGTCTGACTCGTGATATAAAACAGTATAGCAGAATTAGGGAAGGCAAGAAGCACATGCCACTCATAGCCCGCCAGTACTGGGCAGGGATGTCTGCTACAGTGCACCCTGGTTAAAGACATCATTGCACAGCGATGCACGCATACCCATGTTTACAGCAGCACAATTCATAACAGCTAAATCCTGGAAGCAGCCAATATGTCCATCGACAAATGAATAGATAAAGAAATTGTGGTATTTACACACCCTGGAATACCTCTGTCCTCTGCCATAAGGAAAGATAAACCTGAGTCATTCATAGGAAAATGGATGCACCTTGAGACCATAATGTTAAGTGAAATAAATTGGACACGTTTAAATACCACATGGTTTCTCTTATATGAGAAGCCCAAAATATAAATAAAGAGCACCATAAAAGATAGATGATAGCAAAGAAGGAAATAGAGCTTTCTCAAATGGGAAGAGGATGAAGAGATGGACGGAGGGGTTGGGAGGGGAAGGGAGGAGGATGAAAAACGGAATCAAGATGTGTTAACTACATGCACCAGTCCACACACGGAATGTAAACATTAGGTACTGCAAACACAGACTGATAAACTTAAGTTTAATTAAAAGTTAGTGGCAAGCTGGGATGTAGCTCAGCGGCACCACGCCTGCCTCGCAAGACCAAGGTCCTGAGTTCGATCCCCAGTACCGAAAAGAAAAAAAAAAGTTGGTTGTTCTGCCAGCGTGTCAATCTTTTCCTAAAATAAAGGTGAAAGACGTTAAAAGAGAAAAGGAACTCCACTGCAGAGAGGTAGAGTAAGTTGCCCCACACCACACGGGGAGTAAGCAGAACTGAATTCTGCACTACTGAGAATCCAGACAAGACCCCTGCTGCCTCCCCCCCCCCCGCCCTGTGACGATGGTGACAAGCCATTGCCCAGAGCGACGCCCACCCCGTAAAGTGATTCAGAGCGGGAGGTGATTCTGCGCCCACGGGAGGGGCGCAGGCTGCTCGGAGCTCACATGGTGCCGCGTCTCCCGCGCCGGGAATCGCAGAGGGTCGCGCTCTCGACCGGGCGGCTTCTGTCCTAGGCGCAGGCGGCGGGCGGGGAGGAAGCCAGGCACTGTCCCCTGGGAGAGGTCCAGCAGGATCGCTGCCCCGCAGTGACACCGTCCCCGTCCTGCTGGTGCCCGGGGCAGTGACCCCGATTCCGGCCCCAAGAGGCGGGGAGGGACCGGGCTGCGGGAGCAGACGGCCGCAGGGCGCCGCGAGGATCGAGGATCATGTCCCCCGGCCACGCGTGCCTCTGGGTGCTGCTGGCCCTGGGCGCCGGCCTGGCCGGCTGGGGCGTCCGCGCGGGCCTAGTGCGGGGCCTCCGGCAGTTCTACGTGGCCGCGCAGAGCGTGACCTGGACCTACCGGCCGGAGCCCCCAGACCCCAGGTAAGGAGAAGGGAGTACAGAGGGGCCCTTTGCAACTGCACCAGACACACAGACAGACAGACGGACAGACAGACAGACTGACTGGCTGGCTGGCTGACTTCAGGTAAGTATATACAGTTAATAAAGTATACGTGATGGCTTTATTTCGTTCATTAGACTTATTTTGCCTCTGCTCATATAGTTCATCCTTCTAAAGATATAGAAAAGATCCAGCTGGGTTTGTAAAATGCTGCCTCCTTTCCAAGAGTTTGTTTTCAAGACGGCTATGTTAGTATGCGTGCCTTGCTAGTATGCTTATTTGTCACTATGCTTAATTTGTTAGTATGCTTAATCAATTCAAGAGCACCAGGCTCTAGCTCCTGCAGTACAGCCTTCCTACAACTCCTATTCCCGCGTTCTGAGTCTAACATTTACATGGGACTTCTAACTTCATAGCCTGTAGTCTGTCTACTTAGCTTCATCTTCTAAAAGTAAAGATGTACACTTTATGATAAGCAGATAATTGAATAACTACTGCCGTGGTCTCTTATAAATGACTTTGAAAATGAAGTAGGACTTATTCGTGGCTGTTTAACATGGTTTTCTTTCTTCTTTTAATCGCTTCCTGGAATATGGTTTTCCCTGGATAGTTTGGTAAAGTCCCTATTAAAAGGCAATCAACTAGGAAGGTTTAAATAATCTGAAACGATCTTTGAGTTACAAACACTATTTTTGTAACTGAAAGGTTAAAAATAAGATTTCCCAGGGTGGAGGATTTAACTCAGGGGTTCCAGCGCCTGCCTTGAAAGTGCAAGGTCCCGAATTCGATCCCCCGTACGAAAAAAAAAAAAAAAGATTTCCCAGAAACTAACCAAACCATATGGTCCATTCAGTATTTCCAGTTAGCTTTATTTTTTAATTTGTTTTGAATGGTAAATCTACTGTGACTCAGTTTTTAGAAACACTCAACCTCACAGTTTACGTGATTGTGAAACAACATGTGTTCCTCTTTAGGGTTGCAAAACCAAAGCCGTTCGCAAAAAGAAAACGTCCTATTCTGAGTGTCTTTTTCTACATAGCATTAATCCTTTCAAAAATGTCACTGGAACGAGGTTATTTTGGAGAGTGTTACATGCTGTCTTGGTCTTAGAAGAAGAAATTTCTCCTTTTATGAATAATAATTTTTTAATACTGCATTTCAAGGTGATAATCTAAGTGATACCCATGCCCTTAGAGAACTTCCATTAACTAAAACCCCAACGAAAACGACCTTCTTCCCAACGCTGATGTTGCCTGTTCATGGAGCCAACGCACACACTCCTTGAGGGTCTTCTTTGCAGCATGATGTGTTTATACCTGGGAGGAGGGGAAGAACTGGGGAGGTCAAAGGATACAAAGTTAAAGATGAACAAAGCCAGCCCTGCACGGTGATGCAAGCTTGTAATCCCAACATTCTGGGAGGCTGCAGCAGGAGGATCAGTTCCAGCCCATCCTAGGCAATTTAGCAACTTAGTGAGACCATCTCAAAATTAAAAATTTAAAAAGGCAAGGCCTGAGGATTTAGCTCAGTGGCACTGTGCCTGCCCCAAAAGCACAAGGTCCTGAGTTCTATCCCCGATACAGGAAAAAAATTAAAAAATAAAAAAGGCTTGGGACGTAGTTCATTGTGAAGGTCCTGGGTTCCGTCCACAGTACTGAAAAAAAAATCAAAAGATAGAATGTACGTAACATGAAGACTATACCTAATTACAGCGTATTGTATTAGCAAGTCTTCCCCCAATTAGTAAGGAAATATGAATATTGGCAAAGGAGCCAAGCCAGAAAATTTTTCCTTAATGGTCTCTATCATCCCTATGAAATATTGTTACCATAGTTATTAAGATTCTGAACCCCATCCAACCTAGAAATAGAGAATAAAACAGTGGTTACCTGGGTCAGGATAGAGGAGAAGAAACATTGGCTCTATTTATGAGCTGTATCTCCTTAGGAAGTTACTTCATCTTCCATTAAAACTAGATTCATCTCTCACCATGCACTGAACTAAAATCAAAATAGATCAAAGATCTAAATATTAAAACAGAAATACTAAATCTTCTGGAAGACAGATTTAGATAGAACTCTTAAAGACACTGGTGTAGGCAGATTTTATTAACAAAACCCCAATCACACAGGAACTACCACAAAGAATCAACAACTGGGATCTCATCCTATTAACCAAGAGAAACCACCCACATAGTGAAGAGACAACCCACAGTGTGGGAAAAATTTTTTGCCAGCTACTCCTCAGAAAAGGACTACTATCTAAAATATATAAAGAACTCAAACAAAATCAGACCATCCAAATTTAAAGACACAATCCAAAAATGGGCATCAGAAATGCATAGACACTCCTCAGATGAAGAAGTAGAAACACCAAATAAATATATGAAAAAATGTTCAACATTGCTGGTCATTTGAGAGATGCAAATTAAAACAACACTGAGATTCCATCTCACTCCAGAAAGAATGGCTGTTATTAAGAAGTCAACCAATAACAAATGCTGGCGGGGTTGTCCCTCCACTGTTGGTGGGAGTGTAGACTGGTGCAACCACTGTGGAAATCAGTGTGGACATTTCTGAAGAAACTAAAACTAGAGGTTCCATTTGACCCAGCTATTCCTCTTCTTGGTATCTTCTCAAAAGATCATACCACAGCAATATATGTACACCCATGTTTATAGTGGCACAGTGTTTAATAGCTAAATCTTAGAAACAGCCCAAATGCCCATCAACTGATGAATGGCTGAAGAAGATGTGGTTTTTTTTAATATACTCAGCCATAAATAAAGATAAACTTGAGACATTTATAGCTAAATGGATGCACTTTGAGACCATACTCTTAAGTAAAATAAATTGGACACATATGTGTAAATACTGCATTGTTTCTCTGGTGTGAGAAACTGAAAGTGTAAATAAGAACCAAAATGTATAATAGATACTGTGAAATAGGAAGAAAATGTTGAAATGGGTAGGGGAACTAGGGAGGGGGTTAGGAGAAAGGAAGGAAGGGAAAGGAAAATAAAATGAGAAGAGAAGGGAAAAATGGAAACAAAGCTTTTGTAAATAAGGAGGGGAAGGATTGAATGGAAAGTAGGGGAATGGGAAAAAAAAGAAGCACGATATATCATGTACAAGTATAAATTCCCTATGATGAATGTGATCATTATGTACATCTAAAATGTACCAATAAACTTGATCAATTCCAGGAGCTTAAAGTTATATTTTGAAAGTTAGGCATTTAAAAAAATCGTATGTGGTAGATAAGCTGAAAATAGCACACATATTTGCTTATAAGTTATTTGTTCATATTTTTAATCACTTAAAACCTAAAGTTTGAGTTCACACTATGATTGTAGGTTTCTTTTCAGAAAATGGATTCTGAGAAATAGTGTGAGGATGGCCTAAATCTGTGAAAGAATGTTTGCTTATCACAACAAACTTTTTCAAGAAAACAATAATTATTTCATTCATTTCACTTATTTTTCATATATATAAACCTTGTGTTTCTGAAGTACAATAAAATATAGTTATTCTACAGATATCTGAAATGTGAGGAATCTATTTTTGGTAATGTGAATAGATGCTGTGCACATTTTTCAAATTAGGTTTTGTACTTTATTTCCAGTTTGAATCCTTTCACACCTTCCTTTAAGAAAATTGTCTATAGAGAGTATGAACCATATTTTAAGAAAGAAAAGCCACGATCTAGCATTTCAGGTAAGCCTAAAATATATTTTAAAAGATAAATTTCTATGGGTAATGTATTCATTTGTATCTATAATATCCTTTGTGTGTTGTTTCTAACCATGTTGGGTATATAGCATGTGGGCTAAGTTCACAATGGAAAGGGGAACCCTGTGTTCATATTGTTGAGAATTTTAAATCAGTGATGGTACAACATTAAGCCAAACAGGGACCCTGTGAAACCACAGGGGTCACATACCCATGAAGCCAGTGTTTTTAATCTTGGTTAAAATAGCTAAACAAGGCTTTGGATTATCTGAATTTATATTCATTCATCCAAGAAGACACTGTGTAGCTGCAGCTGTGGGTGTGGCACTGAATTAGGCACCATGGATGCCACAGTGGACAAGACAGACTCCTACTCTACCTTCATGGGGCTTGTAGTCTAGTTCAATAAGCCTTAACAGAATGAGGTTTTGTTCCCAACTGGTTTCCTAGACTCAGTTAAAGGGACTATGTACAGTTGATTCTTTGCATCTGTCTTTCCCATCTATTCTGGTTAGTGTGAATAACCAAATAACTGTGATTTTTAAAAGAAAATCTCTTCTTTTTGTTTCATCTTTCCCTTAATCAAGGAGACTAAGTTGAGTAGGGTTCTAGGAGCTTAACCTTGGGAAAATATTTCAGAGAAATGACAGAAGTGATCAAAGGAGAACTCCTCCAGCTGGGTCTCTTTGTCTATAATTCACCCACCCTTCCTCTGACCAGGTCTTTACACCTGCCATCTTTCCCATACTCACCCTCTGCATCTCCTATGCATCTCAGTACCTTGGATCTGATGATCACCTGTAATCTTCAACCTTTCCTCAACTTCTCTTCAGTCACAGATTAATAGCAAAGGCATACATGATGGTATGGGCCTATAATCCGAGAACTTTCGGAGACCAAGGCAGGAGGACTGGAAATTTGAGCCCAGCCTGGGCAACTTATCAGTTTAGCAAGACCCTGTCTCAAAATTTTTTTTTAAAAAGGGAGAGGAGGCTGAAGATGTAGCTGAAGACCAAGACTCTGGGTTCAAGCTCAAGTACCAGAAAAAAACATCAACTTCCCCCAGGATCCATCCTCAGCTACAACAAGGGCTTTCACACCTCCCTACCAAGAATCCATGTCCTTTCCAAAGCTGCACTGATTGCTACCCACTCACAACAGAAACAACTCTCCCCTCATCTGCTCGCCCCCAGTACTGTGTGAACTAATTCCTACCTTTTAGGGATGTTGTGAGAATCAACTGAGTTAACAGATACCCAGTACTTAACAGTACTGCTAACACTTAACAGGCACTCAATATAAGTTAGCACATTATTACATCATGACTTTTACTATTGTGGTTATTAACCACATTTCTACTAGACTATATATCATGGGTTTGTGCCTATCTATATATTCATATTCCTTCACTCTCTATATATCTTGGTATTTGATCATTTATATATTAACTGATCCTTTAGTAAATATGCTTTTAAATTTTCTTTTTTTTTTCCAAAACTGTTTTGGAGAAGTAGTACATTCCAGACTCCAGGGATGTGAAAGTGAAGAAGACCTGGTCTCTGACTCCCAGGAGCCATCTGGCTACTGGGGATGACCTACAAGGAGGCAAATAGTTGTAGTACAGTCACAAGGGAAGGAGTTCGTGGAGTCTGCAGTGGGACGTGGGAGACCTCTCTCCAGTCCAGTGGTCACAAACGACTTTCCACTTCTAAGTTGATAGCTGAGGAAGAAATAAAAAAGAAAGAATAAGACCTTGGAAAGGCAAGTGGAGGGGAGGAGTGGAGATGCATTTGAGACCAAAGGAGCAGTGCTGTTGAAGTTTAGGGGTGAGAAAGTGTGGTGTATGGGGGGAATCATGACCAGATCTCGCAGCTGGGGCACGAACTTCAAGGAAGGAATTGATGGCAGCTGCTCTTGGTGGGGATACAGCCAGATCAGACAGCCATGTTCACATTTTGTCTTAGGGGAAGTAGCAGTCACATTAAGGATGGAAGCAGGAGAAAGACTCAGATTTGTGCTTTGCAAAGATGATTCTGTCCAAATATGGAGAATGGATTGGAGCAAGGCAACTCCAGAGCTCACAAAACAAGTTATGAGGCTTTTGTGAATCTCTGTCAAAAGGAATCAGGGACACCAAGGTGGAGAAAAGTAGATATTTAGGAATTGCCAGATGTGATGGTTTATGCCTGTAATCCCAGCATTATGGGAGGCTGAAGCAGGAGGATCATGAATTGGAGGATCATAAATTTCTTAGGCAATTTAGTGACTTAGTGAGATTCTAACTCAAAATTTAAAAAGTTTTAAAAAAGATCTGGGGACGTAGCTTAGCTGTTTCAATCTCCAGTACTAGAAAACACACAAACATTTAGGAGTGAAAATCAACTAAACTTGGTGCTAACTGGATGCAAATAATGGGAAGAGAGAGGAGCTATGATTGAAGCTTCTGGTTTGACCAGTACAATGGATATGGTGCCATTCAGTAAAACAGAAAATTTAGAAAAAGAGTGTGACGGAAAATGTGCTCAGATTTGGAGTTTGAGATGTCTGTAGAATACATACCTAGCAATGTCATATGAGCTGGTGGTGTAGAATTTTGTCCTTTAGGAGAGGAATCCTGAGCTAGATATAAATATTTGGGAGGCATCAGAACCCCAATACCAGATGGTAAATGAAGTTCCAGAGGGTGTGAGATCACCCAGAAAGCATAGAAGAGAGGGCTACAGACAGAGCTCACAGGAACAACAAAGGCCAATGGATGAGCCAAGAAAGAAAGGTTCACCAAGGAGCTGGAGAGCATCTGCCCAGAGAGGGCAGAGGACAGCTAGAGAATATGGTGACCAAAAGCCACCACAAGCAATGGGTACAGGGACTCAAAGGCTGCCTTGTCATGAAAAAGGTGGGGCAAGATCATATGAAGGAAGGGGCTTCAGGAGAGAATGCAAAGTGAGGAAACAGAAGCAGAAGGAACTTATAGATAACTGGTTCCAGAAATTTAGCTTCACGCAGGAGGAAAGACAGTGGCTCTGGAGGGGAATGGAGGATTTAAGGATATTTTGGAGTTTTACAGAAAGGAATATAAAAACTTACTGTCTAAGGGAAGAACTTAATGGATAAGGAAAAGATAGAGACATGTGATGAAAAATAGTTGATGGAGCTATATTCAGAAGCAGCAGAAAGCTGCACCTCTGGCCTTCAAAGCTTGGGCTGGCCCAGCCTTACCTAGAAGGGCTCCTACCTCCTCTGGGTGAAGGAGGGGCAGTGAGCTTGCCCATAGAATTACATTTGCAGCTGTGGGCAGAAAGTGGAAAGATCTCCTGTCCTCTATCACAGAGCCTGTTTGGTTTCATACTCCAGCTCCCACCTTAATTTGTATAACAGATACTTAAGAATTGTTTAAGTTAAATTATAAGTGGAAAACATATTCACTAGGCCTAGAAAGGAGGAACTGGGAACCATCTGAAGCTCCGCCTTTTGTGGCTTTTTCCAAATTAACCAAGTTTTAATGCCATTGCCAGGAAAGATATTGTAGTGAGTGCCACAAATGAAAGAGAGAATGCCAGGCTGGAGATGTGAAAGCAGTGGTGGTGAACCTATGGCACATGTGCCACAGCAGGCTGTTTGTATCACTGAAAGCTCTAAAAGGTTCGCCATCACTATTTTAAAGCAATAAGGAGCCATACATAGGTTTTGAAGAGGAGAGTGCCCTGATGGAAATCCTTACAGACGATAAACTTTTGTAGTGATTTCCTGATTTAACCTTATTAATCAAAAGTAGACCTTGAGAGTTGGTAAGAACAGCCTTGGATTTATGTTTCTGCTTCTTTCACTTTAAACATTACCTTCTTGTCAAATCCTTGGCGTCCCAGAATATATTTGTCTTGGGTGAACTAAGGCATTGTAATATCCATTTTGGGCTGCACGGGTGGCACTGTGATTCAGCCCTCAGCTGGGAGCAGAGGGCTGGATTAGCTGACCTGCAGTCCTTTCCAACTCCACACCTGCAGGCTGTGCTGCCTCCCTTGTGGACTATGCACCACCGCCCACCCCAAGCCCTGGGCACTGAAAAGGTGGGAAAGGGCCTAGGCCATCCAGCTGAGGGAGAAGCTAAAGAGCAGCTCAAAAAACATTCAGCCACATGTTTGCCTACTTGTATTTGATTTGCTTGAATGAAAACATCTTTTAGTTTTGCCTTAATACTGAAGAAGCAGGAAGGGAGGCTGAGTAAATACCATAAACTGTCCATGGAAGTAAGAGGTCTCTAGGAGACCTGCTCTGGGCATCTGGTATTTGCAGCCATGTGACACCACCCACCAAATCAGCCAAACAAAGGATCCATGGTGACAAATGCAGTGCCCACAGTGACAGCATGGTCAGCCCAGATGAGGCTCATGGGCACCCTGGGCAGGAGGATGGCCAGTGGGGCCACCATGAGCAGCCAAGATGTAAGTGGCAGGGTCAGCTAGTGGAGTCACATGTGGCCAGCAGCCAAGACAGGGGACGACTTTGCACTCCTGTTGGACAGTGAGGTCTGAACCTGTTCTGTGTGAGGTGGTAGAAAAATCCTTGGCTCAGAAGTCCAGAGACGTGGGTTCCACTCCCAGAAATGCCACCAAGTCACCGACTGACCTGGGGTGAGCCACTCTGCTTCTTTATTCCACCTCAAGGTTTTGTTAACCAGTTCAAATATGAGTTGAACTTGAACTATGTGATCTTCATGACATCACTGTGCAGAGTTCACATCCGGACAAACAAAAGGCTCTGGGCAAAGAACAGTGTAAACTCCTGGACTGGGAGAGCAGTAGAAGGAACAGTGGGTGGGAAGACAAAAGTAGGGACAGATGTGACCAGAGATGACAGCTTACCACGGCCACTGTCACCAAATGCCACACACCTAGTGCCCTAAAACAAAGCACATCTGTCTCCTCTTACAGTCTAGATGTCAGAGGTCCAAAATGGGCTTCACTGTTAAAATAAATGTATTGGCCAATGCTATTATTCTGGAGGCTCGAGAGTAGAATCATTTTCTTGTCTGTTTCAGTTACTAGAAGCTGCCTCTATGTATGGGCCTGCAGCTCCTTTCTCTCTACCTTCAAGGCCAGCAGAGGGCATATTATAATCTCTTTCTGAGATCCTCTGCATCTGCATTGTGCCCATCGGATTACCTAGAAACACCTCTCCATCTCAAGACCCCTAACTTAACCCTAGGTGCAGTTCCTTGCCATACAAGGCAAAATACTCACAGACCCCGAGGGAAGGACACGACTCCGCCTACTACATCCACGACAAAACTCTTCCCTGCTGTCCTGCATCCACCTTCATCCCCCAGCCCCCATACCAGAACCCCATGGGCCACCCATGGCAACTTGACCTTCCTTATCTCACTTCAATCCATCATTAAGTCCTGAAAACGTAATCTCCCAAGTAGAAATCTAATCCGTTCTTTTCTCATCATCTCCATCACTGTGACCTTCATCTTACCAAGATCTCAGAGCCTTCCCTCGGCATCTTCTCTAGTTTCTCCCCAGGCCATTCTCCACAAATGTAGCCGGAGATTTAAAAATCAAAATCTGGTCCATGTTGTACCCTTGCTGAAAACTCTTTAATGGCCTTCAAATACTATTGGGTTAAAAGAAAAACTCCAAAAAGCCAACATGCTCCCAAATGATTGGGGATCCTATGGTGTCTTCATGGTTTACCTTCTGCATCACTGTCTTGCCTACTAAGCTTTTCATGACCATCTGTCAGTTATCTGATTAGGCCATATCAAGGCCTTTGCACATGCTAATACCACTCTCTGGTGAAATCTTTCCTGCCTCCTTTCTGGACTTCAGTTAAAGTATCTCACTTCACTTCCTCAAGAAAGTGCTTCTCCACCCTGACCAACACCTTACTTCCATAATTGGACTAAACCCTCTGTCAGGGTATTTTGTACTTTTCTTTCACAATGTTTACCATTAAAAAATCAAATATTTGTGTGACCATTTGTTAAAGTCTGTCTCTACTGTCTTAGAAGCTCTATAAAGGCAGGGAGTGTACCTATTTTACTCTTTTTTGTGTCACCACAATTCTGGCCCTAGGATAATGTGAGAACTTGATATTTGTTGAATGAATGAACATAAGGTAGTGGGTATAGTGTACAAAGATGGTTAAAAGCTCAACATCTATAGTTAGATAATTAAATTTAAATGATAGCTTTGCCTCTTTTTAGTTGCATGACATTGGGCAAGATACAGTAGTTAAATTCCCTGAGGCCCAGTTTCCTCATCTTTAATGTGAAGATCTCAATGTATATCTCAAACATTTGTTGTGGGGATTGACATTAGGTCCACAGTGTTCAAATATATCTTGAGGATGGTAAGTGGACATCCTATGCTAATTACCACCATTGCAAATGAATGTGGGTTGAGCTCCATGCCTGTCCTAACTTTCTTCTCCTGCTTCCATGATCCCTAATGGGCAGAAGCCAATCCCATGAGAACTTCTGGATGGCCCAGAAGTAAGAACAGTTGGTTCCCATCACCTATCCAAGGTAGGGCTTTGGTGATAGGTCCGCAAGCCTTAAAGGACACCAGAATCATGAAGGACCACGTGTTGCAGTACAGGTTCACAAGCTCTACCTCCAGAGCTGGGCTGAGGTGCTCAAGGGATCCTCTCTTTCAGTAAGATCCCAGGTTATTCTGAAATGGAGACTTCTAGGGCTACACTTTGGGCAACTGTAGTATGTGACTACTCAGAACTGTGACTCAGATGTCAACATATCTGTTAATTCCCTGGATACATGGATACACCCACGTATCTTGTCCCTACCTCAGTAGTGGGTCCTACTGTCTGTCCATCTCCACATTACTCTCGAGCTCCTGGAAGACAGGCACTATGTCTTATTTATCTGCACAGCCCCAGGACCTAGCACAGTGCCTGGCCTGCAGCAAGTAAAACTCACTCGTGATGTCTGCACCCCTAACCTGCTGCCCACATGTGCTCCCCATCACAGTAACCAATAACACTGTTTATCCAGTGTCCTACTTTTCTCTCACTGTTGAGCCAAAATACCAGACACCCGAAGTTAAAGGGGGAAAGGTTTATTTAGGTCACAGTTTGTAGAGGTTTCAGTCCATAAGCAGCTGGCTCCAAGGCAGAGTAGCACATGGCAGAGGGGAACTGCAGAGGAGAAACAGTTCACGGCACCCACACGGTAGCAAAGGAAACAAGGGAACCCTAAGAGATAACCGGGATTAGGGCTCTGTCAAAGCTCTGTGCTGGTTTAGTAATCCCAAACCCTAATCCCAGCATTACACATTCTAGATTCAGCCACCTCTGAAAAAGCCACCTATAACTGCATGAGGCCTTGGGGAGACAGTTCAAAACCTCCAGGTCATCCTTGACTTCTCCTCTCACATACAGCATCCAATCCATCAGAAAACCCTGTGGGCTCTACCTTCAATTGTGTCCCGATTCTAAACACTTTTATCACTTCCCTGCTACCTGCTGGCCCAATACACCACTGTCTCTTTCCTCTACTTCCTGATCTCTGCACTCACTCTTTTCACCTCACAGACTACTATCTACACTGCAGCTCGAATGAACCTTGCTTTAAAGAAAAAAATTTTAGACCCACCAGACCACATCTCTGCTGTAGAAAGTTCCAGTGCTTTGCTGTTTTCCTTAGAAGAAAATCCACTGGCCCGTGGAGCCTCACAGGATCCAAAGCCCACCACTACCTGCCTCACCTCTTCTCATTCTTCCTATGCTGTTTTCCTTATTGTTCCTCAGGTACATCAAGCTCACTTCTGATTCAGGGATTTTGAACCTGCCTCGGAGCCAGAGAACTGTGTGATTTGCCCCCTTCTTTTATTCAGGTCTCTGAGGTTTCACCTGCTTCACAGCAATCTACAGAACCCCGTCCCTTACATCCCCTGTGTAGCTGAAAAGACAGTAGTTTCAGCCAGGCATTGGGGCACACACTCCTGATCCTAGCACTCCGGGGGACTGAGGCAGGAGGATTACAAGTTAGAGCTCAGCTTGGGCAACTTAGTGACTTAGTGAGACCCTGTCTCAAAATAAACAATAAAAAAGGGGCTGAGGATATAGCTCAGTGCAAAGACTCTGGGTTCAATCCCTGGTACCATAAAAAAATAAAAAGAAGTCTCTAAGGAAAGATGGTGGATCTGAGTGGGTTGGACTTGGTCAAAACTGTTTCTCCTTCTCTCTTGACTTGCTCTGGGTCCAGGCCAAGTTCTACCTTCCTGTTTTTATATAACTCCATGGAATCTAAAGTTAATGAGCTCTCAAAGCTTTCTAGATTCCAGAGAAGCAGGCTGACATCAAGACCAGGAGAAATGACAGCAGTCATTTTGGGGTCTTTCCTGCATATTTTTCCTGCTTATCATCTCTGTCTCTGATGATCCTGAACATAAATTATTTTATCTTCTTTTTCCCATAGGACTTCTTGGGCCTACTTTATATGCTGAAGTTGGAGACCTCATGAAAGTTCACTTTAAGAATAAGGCAGACAAACCCATAAGCATCCATCCTCAAGGAATTAAGTACAATAAATTCTCAGAAGGTAAGAGAAATTTAATATCCCTCTGACAAGAGAAGATGTACAAGTCTAACACTGCTGTCAATATAAACCTGATATTGTTAATCATGTATTGTTAGAGAAATCTCCTTTCCTACAAATGATAATGACAAAAATTATTGCCTTTGTAAGTTTCAGAGATGAAAACAAAAAGGTTCCAGAGCCAGCTCTACCTGAGCTTTTCATCAGGTCCTTGTTCTTTAATAGTTGGGTGGGAAAATTACCTAACCTCTCTGAAATCCAATGTGTTCACCTTAGAAGAGGAATAGTAATACATACATTGCAAGATGGCTTAAGAAGTCAACAAACATTTCTGTAAAAAGGCAGATGTATGTTCAGCTTTGCAGGCCATAGGAACTCTGTTTCTGTGACTCAGCTCTGCCTTTTAATACAAAAGCAGACAGAAAGTGTGTTCATGAATGAGCATGGATGTGTCACTGTAAACTTCATTTACAAAATCAGGCAGCTGGCTGGGTTTGGCCCAGGAGTGGCTGACATGGTGACATGGGACTAGCCTGATGGCACACAGAGGACACCTAATCCATAGTATTTATTATGGTGGCAGTAAAGTAGTACTAGATACTACTTTAGATATAGCAAAATGGTTAAGAACATTAAGCTTGGAAGGCAGATTGGGATTCAAGTTTTAGCTTGATCATTACTGTTTCTCTGGCTTGGTTTTCTCATCTGCAAAACAGAAATGGTAATACCTACCCAATAAAGTTGCTTTGAGAATTAAATGAGGTCGTTTAGGTCATGTTCCTGGGCCTGGCAATCCCTCAATACATGATGAGGACTTGATGATGATAATGATGTCAGTGGCCATGAAGATGATGGTAATCAAAGTGCTGGCCTCAGACACAGGACACTAAGTGTTAACACTGTTTTAATTTCTCCCATTATGCTAACATTCACATCATAGTAAGCAGAGTAGTAGGAACTAGTATGAAAAATTGTATCCATGTTGTAATAGTCAGTGGTATAATAACATTTTAAAATAACTTCAGGCTTTCTATGTTTCAAAAATCTCTTTCCTTGCCCCACACGCTCCAGCCATCATACCTTCAAAGAGAGGAATTGGAGAGCATTTTATAGTGCAGGCTCTAGAACAAGATTTGCCAGTGGGAATCTTGGCTTAGATAATTACCAGCCGTGTGACTTTTGAAAAGTTACTTAATCTCTCTACACCTCATCTTTCTCATCTGTAAAAGAAAGATAGTAATCGTACATATCTTACACAGGTTTGTTGTTATGAATACTTGGAAAAATACCTAGCGTGTAAGCCTAGGTAAAAATTGGCTATGATAGTATAGAAGATTCTTCAATCAAAATGTGTTCAACTAATTTAATATCTGACAATCGTGAGTTAGAAAGTAGTGTTCACATTTATTGTTTCCTATGTAAATTATTGTCAAACTCATTTCTTCTAAGGTGTAAGTGACTAATAGGTCACCACCTATTGTAAACCACTTTCCCCAGGAGCATTTGCATGGGTTGAGACAAAACAAGAAAGCTTAACTGTGAAATTTCAGCCAACTTCAGAAGCTAGTGTGGCAAGACCCTGGGTTTGGCAGCATGCACAGGAGTCTCTCTGTGTCCCTAACATCATACAGTGACATAGTGAACAACCTCTCGACCTGTGTGTAAGCTTCCAGAGGGCTGCACCAGGGATTCAGCACACCAGAGCAGGAGGGGGAATGTTTCCTCAAAAAGCTGAAGTGTCCCTTGTAGGTTCCATTTCAAACAGGGGGAAAGGTCAGAGTTGTGGACTTTGCACCCTAGCGAGGCTGTTTGCACAGTGACTGGACCTTGCCACACATCCCTCTTCCTTGGCTGTTTATTTGTCCTTCTGTTCTCCCACAGTCAGCAATCACAGATGAAAACCTGCTTAAAACACCCCCACAATTTCCACTGGTGACCAGACTATCGGCACAGATCAGTGCCTCTGTGCTCAGGAATCTAAGAAAAATAAATGCAGGTGGGTGGGGAAAGACAAATTTCATCATGAAAATGAGAGGAAATCTAGTAAACAGTGTACTTCATATTAAAAGACAAGCCTTCTGTTCATTTTATCACGCCTTCCATGTTAAAAATCAAACACTTCCCACCCTCACTTATGGCCTCCCTCGACATTTTGAGACACTTGTTTCAGGGATGAGGATAAGCTCAGATCATGCTGAGCCAGCTACAAGAGAATCCAGATTCCTTTTTCTCAGAGGCAGACACGTGAGAGAGAAATGGCAGGCACTGAGAGGGTGCAACAGGTCTGAGAAACCACAGGAGTATATCTGGCAAGGACGGGTGACCCTTTTCGACAGAGGTCCATTTGTGATTTATAAAAATGCTTACCTTTCTTTTAGAAATGTATTTAGTAGCAATAGTTTAAAATCACGAAGTAAAATATCTACAGTTGTACACGATTCTTCGAAAGCTTTCTATCACTAGAAGGGTTTCAATTTGAGGCTAAAACTTCTGAAACTTTCTAAGTAGCATTTACTGAGCTGTTTGAAAGTCACACCCTTGAGAACAATTCATTATTCAGTAAGGTTTTCAAAGTTGTTCTGATCACTTTCAAAGATGTTTTGATCATTACCTTTAGAAAGTTTGTTTCATAATAAATCTTAATAGTATTCCTCACTTGATTTATAACTCATATTTTAAATATGTGAGTTTCATTTTGAGTACTGCACCACGAAATTAGTTCTGTAATATTTAGCCATCTGCTTGTTATCCAACTCTCTGATTTAAAAAAATTTCACTAGAGACTGCTTCTTGCATCTGAGTGTTTCCAAATTCTCTCTATGAAAACTTATTCTTCTAAATTTTTCCAAAGCATTCCAGTGTTTGATAAACTATAAGTGATTATATTTTTCTTTCATCTATATATTTTCTACTTATATAGACCCTTCACTGAATATGTGATAAATGCCTGAAACAAACTATAATGGCCAAAATAATAATTTCCATAAATCACGTAAATGAGAAGTTCCCTTCAAAAGAGATTTGTGTGCCCTCAGCAATGGAATCAGGCTTCTTGCAAAGCATCAGCATTTTCATTTGCCCATTGCTTATAGTTTCTAAAAGAATGTTCTAAAGCTTTGAATGCACTGAAGCCTTCACTGAGTTTATTAAATGGAGAGGAAAGGAGTTGTTTGCAAAAATAAGGGGAGGATTTAATGAATGAGCACCCTAGTGGGGAACCAAAAGGACTCTTTTTGCAACTTCACTTTCCCAAGCTTGTACAAACCATTTTACATTTTTAAAAATGCTGAAAGCCTTCTGGCAAATAATTAGTACACCATGACAAGTATAAACACACTACAAAGCTGACGATGGACTGGGCAGGAAGCGAGCAGAACTCAGTAAATATAAAACGAAGGCCAACCACTGTGCAAAGCATTTATTCTAGCATGAAGCTGAACAAGGAGTTTTTGTGCCTCAGCACAGTATTCATGTCCATGTCTTCTCATTTTCAGTTTAGAGTTTTAAATTTTTACTTTCGCTCCAAAGCCAAAATCAGATTCAGCAAAAATGCATTTCACGAATGTGTCCTCAAAATAGCCGCTGTTTTCGTTTTATACCTTAAGATTATGTAGGTTGCAAAATAAAAAAACAACATGACTTTTCATTCAAGAGTAAAAGAGAAATAATTTGAAGTGAAAAGAAAACACTGATAAAATTATCCCCCAGCTATCTCATTAGTCATCCTCACTTGTATAATTAGACTATGTCCCACTTGCAGGTATGGTTCATCATTTGTTTCAGTACACTGTACCCATAATTCACCTTTTAATTATAATTTAAACCACCTGTTCAACTATTTGATGTTTATCTTGCATTTAATTGACAAATACAAAGTTCTGAATAGTTTACTTTAGTCAATTATATGGTCATTGATTTGTATGAGTATGGGAACATTTTCAGTATCTATGCATGCACCGAAACACCACAGTGTATGCTTTAAATATACAGAGAGATAAAAAAATTTTTTCCAGTACTAGGGATCAAACTCAGGACCTTGCAGTTGTGAGGGAGGTGTGGTGCCGCTAAGCTAAATCCCCGGCCCGAGAGAGAGAATTTTTTAAAATCTAAAATCTATCATGTGTTAAAAGAAATCTGGATGTGAACCACTAACCATTTACAAATAAGTTAAATAAGTTAAAATAAGTTTGAGGTCATTAAGAGTCAGTCACAGTGCTGTATTTGGCACAAGTGTTCTGGCACGTCAGGTAATTTGTAGATACTGATATTGCTCAGTTCCCCTTCCAGAAAAAGTGTGTTCTAACAGCGGCCTTAGCACTGAGTGGCCCTAGTGAAACTCTAGCGGGGAACCCATCACAGCCAGGACACCCATGTGCGCCCCACTGTTGATCGTGTTGAGCTCAAGGGGTGCAGACTCTGACTGCTTTCCATCTGCACCTGGCGCCTGGCCCAGAGCTGACAAGGATGAGGAAAATCAATTTTGAACTAAACTGATGGACTGAGGACTTATTAGAAAGTAGGAACTATGTGTTATTTTCCCTTTGCTTTGAAATGTATTGTTTTTTTTCTGGTGATTATGAACAGTTACTTTGCCTTATTGCCATTTTTTATCATCTTTAGAAAAGATCTGTCACTGCAACAGACTCGCTGTTTGTGTCTCCACCAGGGTCATGTGTTGGAATCCTGGTCCCCATGGGGGGGTACCAGGCGTGAGCCTAGGGGAGGTAGAGTCACGAAGGCAGAGCCCTCATGATGGGTTTGTACCTTGTAAAAGAGACCCCAAGAGGAGCTCTCTCACCCTCTCTCTGCCTTGTGCACACACAATAAGAAGAAAGCAGTCTGCAACCCAGAAGGGATGCTCAGAAGAAACCCACCATGCCGGGAGCCTGGCCTCAGCCCTCCACTCTCTAAGGATGTGGGAAATGTCTGCCATTTAGAAGCCTGAGGAAGGGCTGGCAGGTTTGGTTCTTCCACAGTGTGGCTCAGCAACTAGCTGTGCTCCGTGCAGTCCTTGCACAATGTTTGACTTGGGAGGGCCACTCTTTATCTGGCCTGTTTGCACTTTGCTGTTGAAGCTCTTTTGTAACTTTCCCGAGATAAAGCTCACTGTTTATCAGCTGAGTGTCTTCTTCATAGATCCTTTTTTCTTTTAGACTGGAATAATCTTATAACTCACCAGAGTTATTTAAACCTTTATCACTTCTCAGCTCCTGACAATTTAAACACTCCAATCCTATTTATCATCAGGGTGAAACTTCCACCTATAGTACATATTGATTATCAATCAGTGTCAAACCATTTTTTGAAGGGGAAAAAGACACAACACAGTCCATTGTTAAGCTCCATACCAGCACAAGGGTCAGAGACTCGGATGTCTGTAGTAGCCAGGTAGGTAATCAACGAAAAAAATGCATCCAGTAGACCCTGTGATCAGAAAGCAGAAGAATACAGCCAAGACTGGTCCAGCCAAATTCAAGGCAGTAGCTTGGGCTCTGTTATCAGATCTCTAGGATTTTTTTTTAAAGAAACAGCAATTCAGGAGCTTATATAATATTTCCATATTTTTTCAATGTCAGAATTTAATCTGTTTTAATACCACGCAACTAGAACAAAATGCACCCATAAGGTGTGACTTGGCACTAGCCCATACGATCTTTAGTATTAGGAGTTCAATAACCACACATCAAGCATCTTCTCCACACTTCTCCACATACTGTGAAGACGCCAGAGATACCAGCACAAACAGTCCTGCACCTCCCTTAGGGAGCTCACACTCTGGTGACCAAATGTGCAGAATGCAAATAATACAGTAGGAAAATGAATCATATAGTATCACAGACATCTAATTGCAAATCTTAATGAGTGCTATAAAAGAAAAATATGTAGTAGAATCAGAGGTAAAGAAAAGGGTAAACTGGCACTCAGTTGACACCTAAATGATAAGCGCGCATTTATCCACAGGAACAACAAGTAGAGCACCCTAAGCAGAGGGAGCAGCATCTGCAAAGACAGGGGAGGAAGTCAGGACTTGGGATGTTGGGGGCCCTGATTCAGGCATCAGTGGAAAGAGTCACACATGATAAGACTAGAGCGAGAAACAGGGAATCATACATGCACTTGTGGTCCACGTTAAGGATGCTGTGCCATCAGCGGATCGAGATTTATCTGCTCAACCCTTGCATTTATGGCTTCTATGCTTAGAGGCTTACGATGTACAGCCGTGCACACCACTGTCCTACCTGACTATCCCATGAGCAGTGACTCCATAATGTACCTGTTTCCCATCCCCACCTGGAGAAGCCAGGCATATGCAGATCCCAGGTAAACTCCAGCACTGTTCTGAGTGGAAAAGATTTTCAAAAGACAGAGAGGGGGAAGGTACAGTTAAACAAGGGAAGCTGACATTGCTGCAGTGTAAAAATTTAAGATAGCCGTTATAAATCTTCTCCATATGTTCCAGAGAGTAGGGAAAAGCATGAGCAAGATCAAGGGAGAGATGGGAGATTTAAAAATATATAAATGGAATTTTTAGAGGTGAATCCAATAGCTGACATGAAAAGAATACTAATGAAATTAACAACAGATAAAACACTCTAGAAGAAAACACTAGAAAACATTAATACATATCAATAGAAACTATTTAGAATGAAGCACAGAGATTTTTTGAAGGGGCTGAACAAAATGAACAGAGCATCGGTTAGCTGTGGGACATATTAAGTGACCTAACACATGTCTTATTGTATCCCAGAATGGTGGGGGCAGAAAAACTATTTAAATAAATAACAGCTGAAGACTTTCCAAATACGATGAAGACCTACAGATTTAAAGGGGCTAGTCAAAGCCACACCAAAGCACGTCACAATCAGGTTGCCAAAAAATAATGTTAAAGAGAAAGTAGTAAAAGTAGAGAAAAATATCCATTGTATTCGGAGGAACAAAAATAAGAAATGATAGCAAACTTATTCCAAACAATGCAAGTCAGGAGACAAAGAAGGATGTGTCTAAACTGTTGGGGGAATGTGTCCACTTCCTAGTCTACGCAAAGCAAAAACACCCTTTTATGGCACACACCTGAAATGACAGCTACTGGGGAGGGTGAGACGAGAGGATTGCAAGTTCAAGCCCAGCCTGGGCAACTTAGCAAGATCTAGTCCCAAAATAAAACATAAAATGAGGCGCAAATTCCCAAAGAAGAATATCATAATATTGTATCCCTAAAATGTACCAATTAACTTAACGAGTAAAAATAAATAAATAAAATGCCTGGGAATTTGGCTCGGTCCAAGGCCCTGGATTCAGTCTCCAGTGCCAAAGAAGAAAAACAAATCTTTCAAAAGCAAAGCAAAAGTCTGTTCTAGAAATATAAGAGTAGAGATAATTTCTTAGTAACAAATCAAAAGAAAAGGAATCCTTTTAGGTAGAAGAAAAAATTTGTCAGTGGGATATTCAGATTCCTAAGAGGAAATGAAAAGTTCTAGAAAGGGGCACACATAGAGAAGCTTTTCCCCATTTGTAACCTCTTGAAAAGATAATTGTCTAAGTATTAAAGCAAAAGTAATCAATTTGTTGTGGGCCAAATTATGTATACAGAAGTAAAATGTGCTGGGCGTGGCAGTGCATGCCTATAATCCCTACAGTCAGGAAACTGAGGCAGGAGGATTGTTGCAAGTTTGAGGCCAGCCTGGAATATACAGTGAGTTCAAGGCCAGTTTGAATTACAGAGCAAGACCCTGACTCAAAAACAAAACAAAACAAAACTGTAAAATGTATGGCAACAATAGCACAAAGGGAGAGGGGAGAAATGGAAATATATTATTACAAGGTTCTTATAAAGTGAAATAGTATAATAGTATTTGAAGGGAAATTGTGATAAGTGGAAGATATATTCTAAACTGAAGGGCACTACCAATGAAATAAAACAAAGCTAATAAGCCATTAGTGGAGATTTTTAAAAAATCATTTAAAATAACCCAAAAGAAAGCAAGGCAGGAGAGGAAAAGTAATAAAGACGAAATAGAAAAACAGAAAACAAATAGCAGGATCGTGTTTTAAATCCAAACTCTGGAGTAAAGAATCCATTCTTCACTTTGATTGTGACTGTAGCTCTAAGAATGCACACATTGGCCACAACTCCACAAATATTATGCTTAGATTTGGTGAACCTTTTTACATGCATGTTATACCTTGATAAAGATGATGAATAGGGGGAAGAAGAGGGAAGAAAGGGTGGCAAGAAAGAAGTAAGACAGAGAGAAAGAAAAAGAGGAAAAGAAAAGGAACAGAAGGTAGGAGAAAGAGGGGAGGAAGAAATCAAGATTTCTGTTTTTAAAACTACAATTACTTGAGGCAGTAACAGTTCCCATGGCCCTTTCCCTTTCCCGGAAAATTTTTCAGGCTTGGATCTTGTCTGCCCACATCTACCCTCTGGTGGCCTCACCTGCTACATCAAGGAAATTATCAAAGCAAAGATAATTGCCTTCCCGAGGGAAAGTCTGGCAGCTGATGAGAGGGAAACTTCCGCTTAATCACATGAGGAATGGGAAGCAGCCTGGCCCTCCTGGCTCTGCAGGACACCGTCCTCTCCCCTTCCTGAAGTGACTTGCTCCATCTCCACCACATCTTCCTTTAATTGTGGGGAGCCCAACCCCACCCTTTGGTCGTCCTGAGTCTTGAGCATTTCAGTTCTGCTTCTGTTTCTATACCCTCTTGCTCTCCTGGCAGCAGTCCGGCAAACCTGGGGCTGTCCGGGAAAGTCGAGGGTACCTGGGGCTGTTAATGGGTCTTGGGTGCATGAGGAGGAGGAGAAAGAAATCTTAACTTCAGGGGACAGACGCAGTTCTTATGCACAAGACTGTGTGCAGGAGCTGGACACTGAGGTACAGGGTGGAGGGGAAACTGAGATAATCAGAAGACAGAGATAACACAGGTCTGAGGGTAACTGCAGGTGGAAGGAAGTTATGACACTTTCAGAGCCAAGGAAAACAGTATATAAATAGCTGTAAGTGTACATAAGTGTAAACAAGATGAGAAGTTAAGTATAAATAAGATGGCTTGTCAAGTATCATGGAGAAAATATAACCTATTCTTCTATTCTGACAAAGGTGATTGGAGTCTCAGACTATATTTAAACATTGGAGATATCTTAGAAAATTAACTTGCTAATCCTTAACTGATTTACTAGTAACAGTTTTTCTTCAGCTGACCATGGTATCAAAGCCTTATAACTATGTGGACGTAGAAGTAGACATACAAGGACTGATTGAATATTTAAAATTTTTGAAATTCATTATAGTAAAAGACACAATGCCAAGAATGATGGAATAAGTATGTTGGAAGCAAGGAGAGTATTTTGAGTATTCTGAGGGGGAGTGATGATAATGTGTCTTTTACTGTAATACATTTTCAAATGTAAACATTCACTGTATTTTGTGATCACCTCTCATTAATCAAACACTTGTGGTAACTTATGTCAAATAAATACATTATAGTGTGTCTGTATACTCCTTACTCACCGGATCTGGCACTATGTGACTTCTGGCTCTTCCCCACAGTTGAAAGGGACCATGAAAGGTAAATGTTTTGAATGGATTCAGGACACTGAGGCAGCCACAGCAGTGCAACTGAACACACTGAGGAAAGAGTACTTCAGAACTGCTTCAGAAAGTGGCAAGGACAATGGAGTAAAGTGTGTTTGAAGTGAGGGGGAGTACTCTGAGGGGGATGCATGGCAACGTGGCTGTTATGGTAATACTGTTTTCTATTTTAAACATTCACTGTATATGTTGATCGTACCTCATATGAAATCCTTCTAAATGATGAAGGTTCACTATGGAAAGGTATAAACTCTCCAGCAAACACATCTCAGGTTCCTCAGATTGAGTGATGAAAAAGTAGCCTTTGAAGTTGCCCAGATGTCCTCATGGTGTTTGCTCCTCCAGGTGCTTCTTACAGTGACCACACATCCCCTCTGGAGAGAATGGATGATGCGGTGGCGCCAGGCCAAGAGTACACCTATGAGTGGTTCATCAGTGAGGACAGTGGGCCCACACAGGATGACCCCCCGTGCCTCACGCATATCTATTACTCTTATGAGAATCTGACAGAGGACTTCAACTCGGGGCTGATTGGACCCCTGCTCATCTGTAAGAAAGGTAAAAGCAGTAAGAAAAGATTCTTCTTCAGCAAAGATGCTGAGGCCATAAGGAGCCCGATAGCAGGGGAGATCCGGGAGCATCTTGGTAACTTCTGGCCCATCAGCAGACAGAGAAGGGTGCAGAGACCAGATCACTGTGTGACAAGAGAAAAAACACCCCACATTAGGACTTGGATCATCCTCAGTTTCTTCTAATTCTTCCTTCATCTCAGCCATGGGAGTTTCTCCCACACAAATGCCTGTTTGAGAGCATGTTCCCATGTCACACTTGATGGTCTGTAACATGTACTGAAAGGCCAACATCTTCTTGAAACCGTACTATGGCCGGGCCTCTGTCTGCTTCTCTGGCAAATGTAGTCGACATGGCTAAAGTTTGGGTTGGTAGTTTCATCTATAAAAACATGAAACTCCAGCTTCCCTTCTTATAACAAGCTGAACACTGCGGGTGGCAGGTTTCAAACTCAATTGACTTTATAAGAAATTACATTGAGTAGGCTTCTTGGGAACAGACTCGGTCGTTCCATTTACCCCAAGTGAATTCAGTCCACTTTCATTAAACAAGCAAAGAATTACAATAAACCATACCATGAGAAAGAAGGAAGGTGATGGACTCACTGTCTGTCCACACATGTGCACAGACCATACCTATATACATGCCCAATTCATTTATTCATCACACAAACACATTTTTATTGCCTGGTATATAAAAGATATTGTGATAGCACTGAAAACAATTTTTGAACTCATGAAAGGCTCTTCTATTTTACCCTCAGCAGCATTTTCCCCTCGGGTGAGAATGGGTTAATTCTGATACTCACACGCAATTTTCTAGTACTCCATTTCATTCAGGTGTGATGCTTCAAATGCCTAAGCTAAGGTACACACATTTGGCCTAGGAAGACTGAAGAAATAGATTCTTTTCCAGACTCCTGGCACTCACCAAATACTTTCTGTGCCAGGTAAAATTTACCCGTAAGTCTCTGTTCTTCAAATCTACAAAGTGCCAAAGAAGATGATGGGCCACTGGAAATTTAATAACTCCCAACTATTATTACCTGACAAGGATGTTATTTAAAAAAAATAAGAACTGCTCAGAGTTTATCTCGTTGTGTTGCCCTAAACTCTTTGCTATCTTGGAAAGCTAGTGAGTCTTCAGTGTAGGGTGCTCTCAGAAACATGTCTTTCTTTCTCAGACACCCTCACTGAGGATGGGACTCAGAAGATGTTTGACAAGCAACACGTGCTGCTGTTTGCTGTGTTTGATGAAAGCAAGGGGTGGAACCCTTCGCCGTCTCTAATGTACACGGTCAATGGTTATGTGAATCAAACAATGCCAGGTAACACATGGGCCCCATGCCCTCCGACAATAGTAGAATCACTACTACCTTGGCTCTCCATTGTTTTCCTCCAGGCACCAGGGAAGTTGATCCTCTTCACTGTTTTTCCACTCCTAATTGGAATGTTATATAATCTAGGGCAATGGTTCTCAAAATCTTACCATTTTTTGAACCAGAAAGTACAACCATCACTTTGAATTACGAGCGAGAAGCTTCAGTAGGTGTAATTCTCTGAGCAGGTTTTACCTTGGCGTGTACCTCCAGGAAGACCTCCAGGGTATCAGTCCAGTCTCCTTTAGTGAAATCTGTGGTCCTTACCACATAATGACCAACCCACTTATACTGTAGTTCAAGGTCACTCCCTAGCACTGAGGGTCAGCAGAAAGAATGTAATAAAGATACTTATAAGATTAGGAGAAATCCCTAACATAAAAATACACTATTAACGTTTCAATAGTTGACAGGTGAATAATATTCAATGGCATGTGGAATGTTTTCTCTCCCTGTCTGTGTACAGATTATAAGAAAATAAAAACATTGCAACTACTAGGTGGAGAAAGACCCCTGACTTCCACTGAATAAGTCCATTTTCTGTTGCTATAACAAAATGACTGAACCAGGGTACTTTATAACGAAAAGCTGTTTACTTAGCTCACTGTTTTAGAAACTGAAAGTCCAAGATTGGGCAGCCCTGTCAGCTCACCCTCAGGTATGTGGCCTCTTGTATGTGTCACAACATGGAGGAGAAGCAGAAAAGGAAATGGTTACATAGAGGAGAGGCCAAGAACATGGGTAGGCTTGCTTTATAGCAGCTCACTCTTGTGAGAACTAACCAGAGTCCTGTGAGAACTATCTTGCTCCCTTCCAAGAGCAGCACCCAGTGATGAACCTTCTTCCACTAGGCTCCATCCCTTTGTTAAACTCCACCTCGAGAACATTCTATCACCTCAACACGACCATGGGAAGGACCAATCCTCCAGCACACTGACCCATAGGGATACAGTGTAACCGTATCCAAACCATAGCACTGCCTGGACTACCTCTTCTACTTTCTGGTAGAACTGACTTAGAACTAAAGGTCCATGGCATACAGAAACCAGACTGAGGGGAAAAAAAGAAAACATTTCCACATTACAAAACACTGAATTTCTAAAGACCATTCCTTATGTCTGAATATCACAAATGGCTTCATCTGTAAATTTGAGGTCTCAGTATTGCTTTTAAATTATATTGTTTCATTTGCCTCCATCTTCCAGGTAGACTACTAAAGGAGCTTGCAAAGCTAGGGCTTAATGAATGGACCTCTCCCTTGGGAGATCTGTATTCACATCTCACTCACTTCCCCACCTTAGTGTTAGCAATTAGTCATCTCAAGGTGCTAACTGACAAAAATGAACCATCTATCCATTAACCCTCTGTGTCCTGGAAGAATGAACAATCCATACAAATATATGGATCTAAGAAAACATATGCAGATCACAGTCCTATTCTAGCCCCTAGGTCAAAATAAAAAAAAAATTTTTGATCACAAGAGAGAGAGATTACAAGTCAGAGATTTGTAGTTGAAAAAAATAATAGGGTACACATGGAAAGGAAAAGAGAAGGAAAACATCATTAGTAGAAAAAGAATAGTTATAGCCTATAAAATTCCCTGCCTTAGGATCAGTATAACCTCAATAAATATGATAAGTGCTTATATATGTGTTAACTGCTGAATTCAATATGAGCATTTATTTGGGTTGGATGAACGCTCCCATCAAAGCCTCCTACCTTCTAACTTCTTGCTCTCATGAGTGATGCCAACAATTCTTGCCTTGTTACAAAGGTCTCCTAACAAGGACAAGCTCCTGCATGGGTAAGGGGCTGGATCTCAGCTCCATTATCTAATATCTGGTGACTGTGGATCTGAAGTTTACAAAGTAAGCTAGGGATAGAAGCCAGGACTGGAATCTCCTCAGAACAAAGGAGCATTTTCCCAGTCACTGTGGGAGAAAAGAAGGAGCAAAACTAAGCTTCTGGCTTCAGTTCTCATTGCTCCTGCAGTGGAAAGCTACCAGCAGCCCAGTATAATGAGGACACATCACTGTGTTTTAAGGAAAGCATGTAACCTACGTAATTCATCACCTCATTATTAAAACAACAAAAAGTAGATAAACAAACAATAGAATATCCTCAGATAATCTCCACACCTTCTTTCCTGTCCACAGAGGTTTGACCTCTGTCCAAGTGAGAGAATGGCTTTCTGCTGACTCTTTCAACTAAAACAGATTGGTGTATGAGCAGCCACCCCCTTTTGCCCAGGACTTTACAAGTGCTGACACTGAAATTCCTGCATCCAGGACACCCCTCATTCCTGGACAAACAGAATGGTCACCTGCTCAGTCCCCTCCTTGGTTTAATCCCTTAGAAATCCTGTACCTCTGAACCAATGTCCGCCCCACCCCGGGCTTTATTCTGACCTCTATAATGTCACAAACCTCAATAAGCTATGACTGCCTGTTTGTCCATCACTCAGACAACTGCTTTTGCAGAAGAGGAATCACAACTGGAGCATCTGTCCCTCCCCACTCTGAACTTTAGATGTCTTTGGTGGGTGGGATTTTGATCATGGAGCACTGAACTGAATGCCTCTCTTGGCTGCTGTCTCTCCCTCTCTCTCAGCTCTCACAGTCTGTGCTCATGACCACATCAGCTGGCATCTGATTGGAATGAGCTCTGGGCCAGAACTGTTCTCCATTCACTTCAATGGCCAGGTCCTGGAGCAGAACCATCATAAAGTTTCTGCTGTCACCTTGGTCAGTGCTACAGCCACTACTGCCAACATGACTGTGAGCCCAGAGGGAAAGTGGACCATATCTTCTCTCATCCCTAGGCAGTTTCAAGGTAAGAAACTCTTCTTACAGGCTTGCTTCATTCTTTCTGCCCGCACAAATTCCCTCCTCCTTTGTTCATTCAACCCATCCCACCCCAGACATACTAGCTTTGGTTCTTAATAGCAGAATTTAGATATTCTGTTCCTAGTCTTAGAACCTACTGGTCGAGGATAAAGGAAGTCAGGGCGTTGACACAGATTTTTTTTTTTTAATTAAGCAAAAGCTGAAGAGGTTTCTACTTCCTTGAAAGGAGGAAGAGGAAGAAATGCATGCAGAAGTATTCTTTCTTGGGGGTATGTCAGATGTATCCAAAGGAAGAGATCTAGTGGCTAGAACAGGACTACGATCTGCAAACTTACAAAAGCGCCATGTTACCAAGAGTGCAAAAATTTTAATATGAAAACTCTTGGATTCCACAATGTGTTGAATGGGTCAAACATATCTTCACAGCTGAGGGTTGGGCTTTGGAGGTCAGAGAATTCAAGAGAGGAAAAAATCAGCAAGGGTTATATGGTATCGTGTAAACAAAATAACTAATTGTCCTATTACATGTTTTTTCTAAAACTATTCAGATGAGGGTTTATGTATCAGAGATGAGAGTCTAAAAATACTACTAAAAGAAATTACCTTGTTACTTAAATGATGTGTGTAAGCAATGCACATGAGGAAGAAATACTCCATAGAATCATTTCATTCTTTTTCACACTCAGCAGGCAAAATTGAATTTGAAGTAATGAAATTGTCACAGTATCCCTGGAAAGCAGTTTCTAGTAATAATAAAACAGAAATAGAACTAACTTTTATTATGGACAAGTGCTTTATATATTGTTATTTATTTTTAATGACAATTTCATGAAGTATGTACTAGTATTATCATCACCTTACAGACCAATGGAGAGATAACAGGAAAAATGATAATTCAAGAAAATAGAAGTCACAGGGTTTTAAGGGTTGTTAAATTAACAGGAAAACCTTTTGTTTCAGAAGAAACAAAGGGTATACTTCCAAGTTTTTCTAACCCTTGCTCCTCTCCCCCTGGTCTTTATTTTTGTCCTTTTGTTTCATCCACTGAAAGATTCCAAATCAAAGTGTTCAAAAGTTGCCTGAGCATTCCTTTCACTGATATTTTTAAATCTTTCTAAATTGCTTGTAAAAATATGAATTTTGATCAACAATAATTTCGTCTTACACCCTCTCACTGTTTTTCAATCCTAATTTAGCTGGGATGCAGGCTCACATTGATATTATAAACTGTCCAAAGAAAACCAGAACTACTACAAAACTAACCCGTGAACAGAGGCGGTACATCAAGAGGTGGGAATACTTCATTGCCGCAGAGGAAATGATGTGGGACTATGCACCTATAATACCAACAACGATGGACAAGTGAGTCATTGGGGTTCACACCACTTTGTGAGGGTTTGAGGCATGTTCCCTATGGTCCTGGGTGTGTGCGGGTGAAATATCATCAGGGGGCAACTTGCAAGGGGACGTATGCAGTGGTTTCTTATCCAAACCAGTCTCAAATTACCCCATACTCACCAAGGGGACTTAACTTAATAACAACAATAATAATAACAACAGCAGCAGCAGCTCCCACTAGTTGAATGCTTGATATTGCTAGCCAATATATTAGATCCTTTCTAAGGTTTTCTCTTCAATTCTGCAGGTTAGATATTGCTGGGGTTTTTTTTTTATAGAAAAGAGAATGTGTCAGAGAGATTAAGAAACTTGGAAATTCAAATAGCTCTTAAACATGTGAGAAGATACTCAAGTTCATTCATAGTAAGAGAAATGCAAATTAAACTTCATTGGAATACTATTTTTGCCTACCCAGTTCATGAGCTTAGGTGACACCATCTGTTGACAAGGTTGTGGAACACAAGCAGTGTCATATGTTGCTGGTGGAAAAAGACACTGGTAAAGTCACTGTGCAGGATAACTTGGCAAAGTGTATCTAAATTGTAAGTGTAGCAGTCTTATTCCGCATTTAACCCAGCAGTCTTATTTTTGGAATTTAACAATATAGATGTTGTTCATGGGTAAAATGATAAATGCACAGGGCATTCACTACTGCACTGTTAGTCTAAAATTAAAAACAAACCAAATTTCCATCAATAGGAAGCTAGTTTATGAAATTATGGATATATCTACATAACAGAGCACTACTCATCTGCACAACAAAACAAAAGAGAAAGAAAACATGCTCTATACACTAATATAATAAGTCCTCCGAGATGTATTGTTACATAGTTAAGATGTGGTACAGAAGGTGTAAATAGCTGCCTTTAGTAAAAGGACTGGGAGTAAGAATATTTATATTTGTATATTTTTGAATAATATTTGTGTATATTTCCATTAAAATTCTGATATTATACACCTAAAATTAATTAGGAAAATTCAGAGAGGATATCAGATATGAGTGAGAGTTTGCACTGCAATAAAAATTGTGTGAATGTATTTCCTATTTTAAAAAACTAAGGTAAGGAAAAGAATAAAAAAGAAACTTTGCCAAGACTATATAGTGACAGAACTGAGATAAGAATCTGGGGATTTTGGTAGCAGTCAATGCTCTTTACTTTACAAAATAAACACATAAAGTTCATACTCTACTACAGAGCTTCTGCTTTTGCAAACTAAGACAATAAAGAGAGCAGAGGGAAACTGGCTCATGTTGCTACTCCCAGGTCATTTATCCCAACAGCTACAGAAACGGGGCAAAGTAGGTTGCTTTTCAGCCAGCACCTAGGGTTTGGTGAATGGTGGCAGGGATAGGCCAGTAGCCAGAACTAGAACTAATGAAGATAGTAAAACCTGTGGGGTGGGGGAGATGTTTTGGAGATTTTAAAATATCTAGAAAGGCAATAAGAGTACCCTAGATTAAGTGATTGGAAAGACTTTCTTATAAAACACACCGAGTTTACCCTAGCCTTTCAGCCAGGGCAGACCCAGAGATGTCTAACCCTGAGGGACTCCCCTTACAGATCCTGGGGTCTCTACTGGAGAAAGTGATTTCATTTGAAAATTATTATTATTTCATTTCACTTTAAGACTATACAGATCTCTGCACTTGGATAATTTCTCAAACCAAATTGGAAAAATGTATAAGAAAGTTGTTTACAGACAGTACCAAGATGAGGGCTTTACCAAACGCATGGACAACACCAAAATGAACGAAAATGGGATTTTGGGCCCTATTATCAGAGCCCAGGTCAGAGACACACTCAAAGTAAGTAACATAAATACAGAACCATGGAAGAAATTAAAGAAAAAGCTATTTGTATATTTTTAAATGCAAATGCAGCTTTTATTTATAACCTATTCCGAAATACAAGGAACTGGGGAAGATTACAAATTAGAAAGAAATAAAAGTCAGTATGTTAGGGTGACAGATGACATAGGTACAAAGAAAGTAAAGCCTCAAATATGTAAAATGAAATCCATACCTCGTGACCTGAGGCCAGGTGCAAAGTTTGTCCTAGGTTTCATAGAAGCCAAAGTGAAAGGAAATATGCCTGAACTAGATTTACACATTCATAAAAGAAGCAGAGTTTTCCCAGATATGGAAGCCTCAGAGGAATTTCTTCCACGGATCCTTCTAACGAGGGTGCTGCATGATACAGCATATGGTAACCTTGACACATTCCTACAACTGTTATGGATTTAAAAACTGAGCAGCTTTTTAAAATGATATTTCTCGTTGTCACTGAGAAGATAACAATAACACAATTGCATACAAACAGTTCTGCAATGTGGTCTAGGTATGTGGCTCACCAATGGCTGGTCCTGGTTAAGGTAAATTTGGATATATACCAAGAGCTTGGAGTTTTCCTCAGATAATATTCTAAATATTACTTAACATCAGTTCAGCAAGGTGGATAAAAACAGAGAATTAAAGGCTATAATATTCGGCAAGATCCTAGAATGCAGATAATCTGTAGATTAAAGATGTTTCAAAAACTTTGGCAATCAACCAAGTAGAGGATTAAGGTTTTCTTTTGAAGCTTACTGTGCCTAACCAGGACTCCTGTGTGAATCATGCCTTAGACCAGTGATGGCGAACCTTTCAGAGACCAAGTGTCCAAACTGCAACTCCAAACCCATTTATTTATTGCAAAGTGCCAACACTACAATTAAATCTGAATATGGAGGTTTTAATTTAGAAAAAAGGACTCATACATTAACATCTTTTGCCTTAAAAGAACACACATGGCTAGGTCCACCACCACTGTCTTAGACAAAGCCTATTCTGTTCATTTTTAAAATAACAAAAGGACAAAAATGTTAGGATTCTATGTCCCTTGCCCTTCCCTCATTTCTGATTCCCTCTAGGTGCTTTTAGGAACTGTAAGCACAGGTTCTTGGGAATTCAGATCTGGCTATTGGACAGTCCCCTGCAAAAAGAGGGCTTGAATGACAGGGTTCATAAGAAACCTGGTAGACAGGACATGGAGATTGTGGCCTAGAGAGGAGAAGGATTAGATTCAAAGTAAGATGCGGCCCAAGCTGAAAGGAGAAGGGGAGGGAGACAGCAATCAGACTATGAGGGAAATGTAATTTCTCCTAACCTGTCCTCTAAAATCAGACACCTGTATTTTCTACCTTCACATGTGAGTAAAACTCTCTCAAAAGTTTCTTACCAGATAATGGCAGGAGGCTGCAGATCACGTAAACAGAACTAATTTTCCCACTGAGTGTGTGCAAGCACACATGGACACCCCCCCCCCACACACACACACTCACACAGTACATATGCAAAGCTAACTCTCAGGAGTGACCTTAAATCCTGGACTAATATATTTTATTTAATTTTGTAGATCGTGTTCAAAAATTCGGCCAGTCGACCCTATAGCATTTACCCTCATGGAGTGACCTTCTCCCCTTATGAAGACGAAGTTAACTCTTCCTCCACCTCAGGTGGGAATCTTTCACTTCTACTGAAAGAAATCAGTGACTCTAGAAGTTGCCATGTTTTTCTGTCCCTCCTTGCACCAAGATGTAACTAGTACAGTCAGTAGTATATAAGTAGTGTGTCCTAAACGTCACAGCCAAGCTCTGCTCATTTCAAGAATTTTGCCTGTCTGTGCTTACTAAATACGGTATAATATCCTTTATTAGTGCCACAGCGGCCTCTAGTGGAGCAGTATTAAATGGTTACATGCTATCTGGCAGTCATGTGTGAGGTGTGATTTTAAAAGGTGATGGATATTTAAATAAAAAATTTAAAGACTTATTACAGTAAAAGAAACACTGCCATCCATCCCCCTCAAGTTACTTCCCCTCACTTTGAGCACCCTTATCCCATTCTTCTTACCACTTTCTGAAGCAGTTCTGGAAGTCCTCTTTTGTGAATGTCTTTTCGTGGTTGCCTCAACATCCTGAGTCCTGAATCCATTCAAAATGTTTACAGCAAATTTCTGTCAATTAAAACTATTACAGCATGTTCTCATCCACTGTATTCACCGGATCTTCCACCATGAAACTTCTGGCTCTTCTGCAAAGTCAAAATGACCATGAAAGGAAAGAATTTCCAATCAATTCAGGACATCAAGGCAGTAACAACTAAAGATGCTCAGGAGAGAGGATTTCTAGAATTGGTTCAGAAAGTGACAAGAATGATAAGTGCATTCAAAGAAGGCAGAGTATTGGGGCGGGGGGAGCTAATGGGATGTGTCTTTTACTGTAATAAATTTTTAAACATTTAAACATGCAGCATATTTTTCAACCACACTGTGTAGTGTTAAATGTAAAGAGAATATTGTTTTCCTCATATTAACTGGTTCTGGTGAGAACTAAGGTACCTATTTATAAAAGTAAAATAATTTTCCAAATGAAAGCAATTTTTATTCCATTTCATTCCAGGCAACCACACCATGATCCGAGCAGTTCAGCCCGGGGAAACTTATACTTACAAATGGAACATCCTCGAGTCTGATGAGCCCACAGATAGTGACGCACAGTGCTTAACAAGACCATACTACAGTGATGTAGATGTCACCAGGGACATTGCCTCTGGCCTGATAGGGCTTCTTCTAATTTGTAAGAGCAGATCCCTGGATATGCGAGGCATACAGGTATTTTACCTTTGAGGTAACCTTTTAGAAATTAAGAAACAATATGTATATGTACAAGATGAATGTAATTATTATGTGCCATAAACATATATTAATAAAAAATAGGTGGAGAAAAGTTCTAGGCTTCTTCTGGCTGGAACAATTAGGTCTCCTTGCTCAACAAAGGGGCTTTTCCTTCTAAAGAACAGTGAATATTAGTTATTCTTTAGCATGTGTGATAACATTTATCCTTCTGGTTAATTTTTTTGTCTTGTCTGTTTTCATCTGGATGCTCACTGCCCAAGGTGAATCTTTATGTCATACTGTATTTGGGTTTAGTTTCAAAGTCCAGGTCTATTTTTACTGACTGTGCAGTGAATAAATCACTCTGCCTCTCCTAGTTTCTTCCTTTTATAATATTCCTCCTAAAATTTTTGTAGGGTGGTGTGGGGAGTCAGTGAGATACCACCATGTGAAAGTATAAAACTCTGTTCCCATCTTTGTTAATTTTAGAGACCTATAACACAGAGAAATAGGAGAGTCTCAGAAAGCAAACACTCTTAGAGACACAGTTTCTAGTGATGTTGGCTCCCGACAATGCTCTTTGTCCAGTGAGACTAAATTATTCAAAAGACTGTGAACAAAGATACCACTCTTCTGGGTTAATCTTCACTGAAGATTAATAGTCTCATTTACTAACCTGAAATTTCCAATTGGGCTGAGCAGTAATCACACAGGTCTTTCCCCAAGACTTATAAAACAAGCATATTTGTTAAGAGACAAATATATGCTTATAGATCTTGATATTTGGAGGTAAAGTCAGAAATAGGTAGAAAGAGACATAAAGCTTTCCTGTTGCAGCCTTCTTTTATCTTTTTCAACTATTTGGGATACATTCGGTCAATCCTTCTATTGAAAAGTGTTCAATTTCAGACATAAACAGATTTTCAGTTGCTGTGTTGTCCTAAAACCATCTTCTAGTCTTTGGATTTTCTGATCTGTTTTTGCTTGTATGTTGGCTATAACTCTGACAAACGGTTGGCATGCAATAGGCTCTTATAATTGACTGAATTATGAGGTGTCAGCAGCATCAAAGATAGTGCTCCTGGGGTATCTGAGATCTTGGTGTTAATAGGTAATCAGCTGGTGCTTTAATCACTAAACACAGCCCATTCATCCTCTAGAGGGCAGCGGACATCGAGCAGCAGGTTGTGTTTGCTGTGTTTGATGAGAACAAGAGTTGGTACATCGAGGACAATATCAACAAGTTCTGTGAAAATCCTGATATGGTGAAACGGGATGACCCCAAATTTTATCAATCAAACATAATGAGCAGTAAGTCAGAGCACTGGTTTTTATCCATCAGTCTTTCATTCAATTGGGTGAAGTATGCCTTTGTTTAAAAGCAGAAACATAGATGAGAATATACTCACCAAAGAGCAGCTATCTTATCCTCACTTCCGGTTCAACAGCTTCTTGTTGAAGTCCCTAGGTGATACTATAGCAACTCAGGCTCCTTATCTTTTAAACAAGAGGTCAAAACCTAGTTATCCTTAGAGTCTACTTGATCTCCTGCTCCCAGTGTGATGGATATGCGTGTGCTCTGGGCAGAGAGGAAGCCAGAGAGGGAAGGTGCTACAGGTCCTGGCCAGCAGAATCTCAGGATTTTAGACTTGTTCAGGGTGATTATTCTTTGTTTAAAGCCAGGGCAGAAATGAGGTAAGTAATTTAAAGCTATTGTCAAATCAAAGTAAAGCAAGTAAGACTGAGGGCTTAAGAGTCCTGAAAAGAGAAAGCATAAGGAGGAGTTTTGAAGCAAGCAGTAAGAAGTTCAGAGGCAGGGAATGTATTCAGAATTTGCTAACAGTTCCAAGTTTACTGCCATAAGAAGTCTAAGAGAAATCTCACTGAGGCAGCTGGAAGCAAACTTCTCCCCCACAGCCAGGGTCCCTTGTACTGCTCCACAGAGTCAAGACCCACCTTGCTCACCTTATCTGATAAATAATCACACCTATGAGAATTATTTCTGCATGGTTTGCTCATATGGCTTCAGATGACTGACAACTGGTATCATCAGAGCTGACAGTTACTGTGACAAATAATTCCAAACAGGGAGTTATTCTCAGCTTTCTTCACATAATTTCATTTCAGCAGTGAATCTGCCATAGTTCTAAACCAGCACTGTGCAACAGAAATTACATTTTCTGGTATCCACATTAAAAAGCAAGAGAAGTACGTGAAACTAATTTTAATAATGTGCTTTATTCAACTCAATATAATCTAGCTATTACCAATTCAAAAATGTAATCAGTATAAAATTAATGAGATTTACTTTATTACTGTCTTTGAAATCCAGTGTGTATTTTATTCTGATAGCACATCACAGATTAGTTTACCCACATTTCAACTGTTCAATAGCCACTTATAGCCAGGGGCTACCATATTGGACAATGTAGTTGTTGTAGACCAGGTAGGAAGCATTTGGAATGAGGTAAAAACTAATAATACATTATTTCATGTATTCAACATGCATTTGTTAAAGACCCACTTCAAAATTCGTTAATTGACAGACACTGTATTAGTACTAGGGCTCTAGGGCTAATCCAGGAAACAGGGGCACTGCATTTCTAGAAATCACATCTTTGATGTGATTATCATGCTTAGCATATAAGGAAATTGAGATATAGCCCAAAGTCGTGTCTCTCTTAAAGATAATGAAAAATATGAACTCAATACATGAATGAAAACTGTAGTTTACATAGATGATGATGACAGGTGACAATAAAAATAACAAAGTATGTTAAATGAGCTTCTTTTTTAGGAACATTCATTCTTAATGACTGGTATGTCAAGAAGATGGATTTTTATGTTCTGATTTTCCTCCAGATAGAATTATTCTGGATAATATTCTAAATTGATTTTTAGAATATCTTTAAAGGCAAAGCAAAGAGCACAAAATATTTAATATATATTTGACACGAGTGAATAAATCAATACAAATGAAAAGCTTTGTCTTCATCCTGACATTTCTTTTTTTTTTGTATTAAATTCTTTTATTGGTACATTGTAGGTATACAACACAATTACATTTCTCATTGGGAAATTGTA